TTGAGATGGATTATGAGGCTGGTTTTGGATTCAGCAGGGAACAGTGTTGTGATTGGTTCTCCCTGTCTACAGCAATTCAATTAAAGTTTTCTGAGAGGGTAGGAGAAGAAAATGGCTGCACAATGCCCTATTTTTGCTATGGCTGTCAGAAAAGGCAGAACTCCTCAGAGTTCTCAATTCCAATCTTACCCATTTTCCAGATGGGGACCTTGAGGCTCGGAGAGAGCAGGGCTTGCCTATTATCATGTGGTGGCCTGGTGGTAAAGCTGGGAGCAGAGGGACTCCCAGCACCAGCCTCTTCCCAGCCCTCAGTGCTGCCCTGGGCATCAGCTACAAAGTCACTTACTGGAACTGCACTGTACAGAGTGCTCCTCTTCAGAGGCTGTGGTGACCTCATAGATGGGGTCCTTTGCTATTTTCCTGGAGGACCTGAAACCCCAAAGCCCTCATACTTCCGTGCATCTAGTCCTTCCCATCTCCATAGGCTCTACCCATATCCCACATCCATAGGCAATGCCCCAAACCCTCTGAATTCCCAGGGACACGGCTCAGCACCATGGTCAGCAACACTCCTGTGGGGCAGGCTCCCTTGATCACACCTCCCATCTCATTCCCATTCCCAGCTTTACTCTCCAGTATTTCTGATGTAGGGGAAATAGCCCAGGCCCTATGGACAGGGCAACAACTGTCAGGATCCCAATGGCAATGCCAGCAATGGGCCTTGCACTGATGACTGGGGAACTGGGCCAGGAGAGAGAATCAGGACCTGGGCCTGACACACTCTCATCCCTGTTCCCATCCCTATTCCCAACCTTGTGGCTTTATCTCCATTTTATTTCATGAGCACTGGTTTTCCAATCACTGAGAGGCAAGGTTTTTTTGGTATTAATAGCATCATTTCCGGAGTTAAACAGCCTAGGTTCATATATCAGCTGGGTGACCCTGACCATGCCCTTCTGTAAAATGAGGATAATAGGGCCTACTTCACATGGTTGTATTGGTGTGATGATGATACTGCTTAGGATGATGGGTCATATCTGGCTTCTATAGGAAAGGCTTGGACAACCAGAAATCTGGCTTTCCCCGAAGTAACCTTTCACTCTCTGGGGCTCTGTGATCATTGACCAGTGCCTCCCCTTTTGAGTTGTATTCCTTCATCTGCAAAGTGAGGGAGATGGTGCCCACTGTACAGGGATGTTGTAAAAATGAAATGAGATCATAAATGTTAACACTGGGCACACAGTAGGTGGTTGATTAATAAACAGCAGTTGTTATTAATATTGTTCTGCTGTTTCCCAATTCTGCTTCTGCCCAGAACTTTTCTCAAAGGGGTGAAGGCCTACCATAGGATTGAGGAGGCAGGCAGTAGGGTCGGGTTATGAGAAAGGGGCTCTGCATTGGAGGCACAGAGGGCTTTCTGAATGCCTGAGGGGGTTCTTAGTTTCATTTGTTGAGCCTCCATTTCTCTCTTTTTTTTTTTATCCTCACCTGAGGACATTTTTTCCATTTTTTGTTCAGACAGAATGGGAGAAAGAGAGAGAGAGAGAGAGAGAAACTTCGACGTGAAAGGGACACATTGAGTGGCTGCCACCCACATGACCAACGAGGGCCGGGGACAAACTGCAACCGAGATACACGACCGTAGCGGGAACCAAACCCAGGTCTCTCTAGACCACAGGCCGACGCTCTAACCGCTGAGCCAAACCGGCCAGGGTGAGCCTCCATTTCTTTGTATGTCAAACAAGCATAGCAATTCATAACCCTATAGGTTTTGGGGGTTTTTTATCCTCACCCAAGGACATTTTCCCATTTTTGTTCAGATAGAGTGGGAGGGAGAGAGAGGAAGAGGGAGAGAAACATCGACGTGAAAGGGACACATCAAGTGGCTGCCTCCCACACAACCCCAACCAGGGACAGGGACAAACTGCAACCGAGGTACATGCCCTTAGTGGGAACTGAACCCGGGTCTCTCTGGACCACGGGCCGTCGCTGTAACTACTGAGCCAAACCGGCCAGGACACATATAGGTTTTTTAAGAGATGAAATGAGATCCGAGGGGAAAGTACCAAGATAGTGCCTGTACCATACTAGGTTTGATAAAAGGTGGTGATGATGATGATGATGGTGATAGAAACTGCTATCCAAGTTTTAAGCTCTAAGAGACTTTTATACACAATCTAATTAAAAACCTACCTCCCCATGAACATCAAGCAAACTCACTGGCTCCTCCTCTAAGCCTCTGTTTTTCCATCCATCAGATGGTCCTAACAAGGCCAGGGGATTGTTCTGAAGATCAAATGAAGTAATTTGGGAAGCCGTTTGAGGTCCTCTGCTTAGGGGACAACTAAGAACAATACTCTTGAGGCAGCCAGCCTGGTTTCCAACCCTAGGGACAGGGTTGGAGTCTCTAGCACTCAGTCTCTACTGTACAATGGAGATACAGGCCTGCCTCACAGCTGGCAGGCAGAAAGTACCCAAAAAATATTTGCTGATTTTATATATAGGAAGATTTGTTTCAGGCATGTGGCACAGGATCAATAAAGAATAATTTTATTTGTTTAACAAACACAATATGCCAGGTACTACCATAGAACTTTACACATGTTAATCAATCTTCAACAGTCCTATGGTATATATAAGCATAATTAGTTTTTTATACTAAAAGAATAACTATTTTTATTTAGCATTATAAGTTGCATTCAGTAGCCTTCAGCACACCACACCAGAACCCATCTACAATCAGTCAAACCCAACAGCAGTTCATTCTATAAGCATAATTATTATTTTTGCTTTACAGATAAGAAATCAGAGGCCCAAGAGGTTAAGTAGCATGCCCAAGGTCACATAGCTCATATGCATTGGAGTCAGGGTGTGAGCCCTGGCTGGTAGTGACACAGTGTTGCCTGCTCAAGAACTCAAGACAGAAATACAGGGACTCACTGCCAGTCACACCCAGATGCTATTACTATAACTCCTGATTCCCCACCAGATCACTCATTCTCTCACTGGCTATTTCCCTGACTCATTGTACTTCTAAACAGCCAAGATAGGCAGGCATCACATCCCCCATTTACAGGTAGGAACACTGAGGCTCAGAGCAGACTTTTCCAGGGCACAGAGCTAGGAAGTAGAGGCCCTAGGACCTGAACATTAGGGGTTGGACTTAAACAGCTCTGGATTGGCAAACTGTTCATGCAGTACACTCATTTCTACACCCTGAGGCCAGGAAAAGCTACTTGTGCCCCAGGGGAAGATAGTGCACCTGAAGGACTCATCTACCATTCTGACCATGACCTAAGCGGAGCGGGCCCTGTGGGTCAGAGGGTTGAGGGCTGAGCAGTTTTTCACTTTTAAACAATAGCCTCCTTTTTCTTGTAAGCAGTTATCACAACTATTCAGAAGCAAAAAGAGATAACCCAGAATCAAATAGATGTGGCTTCAGATTAATGCATCCTGTCTAATTTGAAACCAGAATGTGTCCCCTCTAAAAAAAAAAACAAAACAAAACACCCAAATCTAAATCTCTCATGCATACATTAACAAAAGTCCTGCTCCATTTTGATCCACTCTAAGTCAGTGCAAGTTGACCATCTTTATTTCACATAGCTGTACTGAATCATGCACACAGGTTCATTCATTCAACAATCTGAGTTACCAAATTTGCTATTCCAGTCGCGTTACTGGGAAGAAATCAAAGTATTTGGTGCAGGGTCCTACAAGTCAGAGCAAATTTTATTAATTCCACTCCCCACTGGAGGAGTGGTGGAATTATAACTATTATCTTCTCTGTGCTGGAATTTCAAAAAGTTTGTGATTATCTTTTTTAAAAAGGCCATGACTTCTTAAAGTGAAGATAAGTTTAAATGACCAACAAGCCATATATCCTCAAGTTTGTTTCTCTTCGTGAGGCAAGATTTGTTCATCAGAAAATGGGGACAAGGGTTTGACCTGGAATTCAGGAAATCTGACTAATGCTTGACTCTGCGAAAATTCACTCTTCTTATGTATAAACTCATATTATTATTTAATTAGTTGATGGCCTCTGAACCTTACCCAATAATATTCCCCTAATAGTAGAAAAGAATGGATGCTTATTTTGGGGGGCTGGAGCAGAGGAAAAAGCAGTTACTCTATGACTGGCTTTGAAATCATCTTTCTTTAAAAAAAAAGTTTATTTTGTAGTCTTCCCCATAATATATGCATTTTCTCTGATACAAAAAAAAAAACCCACACATTTATTTGCCAGATAAACTGATAATCTTTTCTAGATCATCAAATTAGTGTTCAAGGAGTAAATAATTTGACCATAGTTTTTTCAGTCACACAATGCTCTTCTACTAGTCTACACTCTGAAACACAGGCGCAAGAAACGCACATTTACATAAACAAATCACCAGTCACACAATCACACTCAACTATAGACACAAAACACATGACAACAGCAGAGGTTCCTACTCTGTCAGGCAATCCCACAGTTATAAAAAATGCAAACATCATATGGCTTCAAGTACGGATCACCCTACACCCAACACGTAGAATCTCACAGGTAGAACTGCAGCTGGCCACCGAGGGACTCCGTGCGCCCGACAACATATCGCGTTGTTTCACACACCAAAGGGCCAAGCGAGGCACAGAAAGGGTCTCCTGCTAGTCGGAGGCTCCGGCCGGTCGCCGCCCCGCTCTAGCTCCTCCCCTGCACAAGCCCCTCCGGCCAGTCCCACCATATGATTGGGTAAGTCCCTGGCACTGCATAGGACTCCGGGTCTCCGGCCTCAACCTCCCCAGCAGCGCGCTCGGCGCCTGCGTACTGAGCGCTGGCGGGCCCTCCCACAAATCCCTGTGGCCCTCCGTGCGAGCGGGCTGTGGCAGCGGGTTCCACGAGCCCCGCTAGGTGGACGGTGTCGGCCGGCCACAGCCTTCTCGGCGTTGGACTACATTTCCCAGAGCCACCTGGTTCCAAACGCAGCTTCATTTCCGTTTGTTCGCGCGATTTGGGGGCCTCGAGTCGGGAGAGCGCTGTGTCTGTGGAGGATCTTGGGCCGGCGCTGGTGGGGCCCACGACGCCGAAATCGCCCTGGCTCCCGAGCGTCAGCCCCTGGACCCTGAACTGTACCATATGTCGAGGTGGGCGGGAATGCTCGGAGGGAGCGTCGCTGGAAGTGCATGTGTGGCCGTGTCTCCTGCGGATTTGTATTGTGAGACAACAAGCATCCTGAGTCGTGCCGTTGACTGAATAGGTGAATGGGCGTGTGCGACTGTGGGTTTAAGTGTTCGTGTGAGTTGTTTATGACTCAGGCGGTGATAATACTGCAGTGACAGGGGTGGCTTGTGACTGAGGTGTGCGACGGTGCTGTTGTAAAGACGGAACATCTTTGGATGTTCTTGTGTCACACTGAGGCTGTGTATATGATCGTATTGTGTCTATTACTGAGGTTTCCCTGTGACTTTGAGTTAGTACAAGTGTTGCTGTGACACTGTTTGTGACTGCTTGTTTCCTCGACCAGGTACTTGGTTGTGTTTTTCTGACTATCTGATTGGATGACTTTGTGTGTCTGTGCCGTTTTGGTGACTGGGAAGATAATAAAAACGCTGCTGTGAAAGGGTGTTTTTGGCCATTGTGTGTCCCTGACAGGGTGCATGGATGTGCTTGAGTGAGGTTGTGGGTATGTTCCGTGTGTGATTTTAAGACTTGGTAGTCTGACAATGTAGCATTAATGTGGTGAATGTGACTCTGGCTGTGTGACTGTGGAAATGTGATTGTGTCCTTTTGTGTCGTCATTTGTGTATTTTATAGTCTGTGCCCATGTGAGAGTTCAGTGGGGTACAGAGGTAAAATTGTGTTTTGGTATTTCTGGGGTAGAGTAGGCCTATGGATCATGAGTCCCACCTGGCTTTGTCTTCCACTGAGGACTTCTTTCTTTTCTGGCCACAGTGATTATCCTTCCCCATTCATGCGTGGCCTTTAGTGACTGCTTTATTTCTGTATCCATCCCTAGTTCACCCTGGTGTTGTAGTAGGTTTCCTGCAGCTTTTCGGTGCCCTCTCACTTTACAGCCTTGAGGGTATTGGATGCAAGAAATGACAGAAAGGAAGTCAGAAATTTGAGCCTCTGAGTGAAGAATACATGGATTGTTTCTAAGCCACATACCTGGTCTTGAGAAGAGAATTTTAGAGCTGATAACATCTTAAAGAAAGGCCACTTGTAAATGTAATGGGGTTCCAGGAGTGGGAATACTTTCAGAGAGTGTGCTGTATGAGGCAAGCCACACACTTAAGAACTTATAACACCAACCTCTAAAGGTCTGTCTCCAGTGGACAACTCTGCATCCAGAAATAAATTCTAGCCCAAGACAGCTGTTACAGAAATGCCAGGAACCAGCCCGGAGCACAGAGTCCCTGAGTTTGAGTGGTGGGAATGAAGACAACAATACGGATATGGGATCAGGAGGACTGTCCTCAGCAGGATCAGCCTTTATTACATGCCTTTTATACCTTACAGCAAAAGTTTAGTGATATAAGAAAATAGAATCTTCTTGATATAATGCCCAGGGCTACAACAATGCTGTATAGAATTAGTTTGCCTTGTGGATAACAGGAGCACCTAGGAACACCCAGTCTTTTATCTCAGGTATTTCAAGGTACTTGGGTCACACTTAGCCCCGAGCTGCACAAACACAATGCAAGCCTAATTTCTTGAGATTGTGGGGCAGGTCAAGTCCCTGACTCAACACCTCCAGGCTCTGTGGACTCTGTCAGACACGTACAGGCTCCAAACACAGTAAGTGGAGAACTGTTCTAGTCACCTTCTGACTTCCTTCCATGTTAAATGAGGGGTAGATTAGGAGATGGGAGACAGAAAGGGTGTGATCTAATTTAGAATATACCCTAAGAAAGGCCATCTCATATTTCCATTTTCTTTTCCTGAGAGTAGAGCCCAGAGGAGGAAAAAATGGCTGTTATTCATTCAAAAGCAAAGTCCAAGGTGAGTAGATGTTTCCTGAACTGCCTTTGTTTGTTTCAGGACATAGGAATCTTTGTTTTCTTTTTGAAATTTCCTAGCTAAGCCTTTTCAAATAATGGAGGGGTGCCTGGCCAGTGTGGCTCAGTGGTTGAGCATTGGCCTATGCACCAAGAGGTTGCCAGTTTGATTCCAGTTCAGGGCATATGTCTAGGTTGAGGGCCTGATCTGCAGTTGGGGGCATGCAGGAGGTGGCCAATCAGTGTTCTCTCTCATTGATGTTTCTATCTATCTCTCCCTCTCACTTCTCTCTCTAAAAATAAAGAAAAAAATTTTTTTCTCAAATGATGGAGGGGCAAGGCAGTTTTCTATAGGTTGGTAGCAGGGAATATGTGCAGTTAATTGTGATAGATGCTTCCCAATAGTGGTTAAATTAAGGAAGAATGGATTTGAGATTCATAAATTTAGAAAGGGGGTACTGTTGTGTTATTTCTGACCTAGCAGCATTGTGTTTTTTAACATTTAAATTTTTTCAAATGTACACAGAAGTATAATGAACCATTATATATGCCCTGCTAAAAATGATCACTTCCCATCTAATTTAATTTATTCTGCCTTCAGTTCAAAGTCTTTTCTAATTTGCCTTTTGATTTCTTCTTTGACTTACGGATTATTAGAAATATGTTATTTAGTTTTTCAAATAACGTAAAGATCTTTCAGATATTTGCCTGTTACTGATTTCTAATTTCATTCTATTGTAGTCAGAGAATATACTTTGTATAACTTGAATTCTTCTGAATTTATTAAGATTTGTTTTATGCCTGAGAATGTGTGGTCTGTCTTAGTAAATGTTTGGTGTACATTTGAAATGACTGCTATTATTGGTCGGAGTGTTCTATAAATGTCAGCTAGCTCATGGTGATACTGTTCAGTACCTTTAATGATTCTCTGTGTGTTTGTTGGATTTCTCTTTCTACTTATAGTTTCTGCTTCATGTATTTTGAGGCTCTGTTATTAGGTACATAACTGTTTTAGATTACATGTTCTAATGGTGGATTGGCCCCTTTAATCATTATGAAATGGTATCCTTTATCCCAGTAATATTCTTTGCTTCAAACATCCACTTTGTTTGATAGTTAAGGTAGCCCCTCCAGCTTTTTTCATTAGTGTTAACATGGTATATCTTTTCCTATCCTTTTACTTTTAACCTATTTGTATTGTGATAGTTAAAGTGCATTTCTTGTTGGCAGCATTTAGTTGAATCTTGTATTTTTATCCAGTTAGACAATATCTGTCTTTTAATTGGCATATTCATACCATTTATATTTAGTGTGATTATTGATATGATTTGTGTCAAATCCATCATCTTGCCATTCATTTTATATTTTTCCCATCTGTTTTTTATTATCTTTTCCTTCTTTTCTGCCTTTGGATTGAGAGAGAGAGTTTCAAAATAACAGTACTAATATTTTACTAACATTATAAATACAGAAAACAATCAAAACTTCCTGGAGTTTAATAGGATATAATCCACTAGGGATCTGTAATCAATTTACTGTGTTTTTAGTCACCTAAAATAACATCTTTTGTATAGTTTAGCCACCAACCTGAGAGACAGAGTTAGGCTCATTTGTTTCACCTTGTTTCTACTTTTAGAAATTGTCCACCTCCGTTTGAATTTATTTTAAAATTACTTAAAATATTTATATATTTCCAAAGTCTAAATTATAGAACAAGATGAATTCAGAGAAGTCTGGTGTCCATTCCTGTCCCCTCCACCCTGTTTTCCTCTTCTCCCTATAGATAACTACCTATGATTATCTTTGGTTTATTCTTCCATTTAAAAAAAAGATATATATATGTTTATGTGTTTGTATGTATATGTACATATATTTTATGGACTTCATTTTTAATTAAAAGGGAGAGTTCTATGTATACTGTTATGCGGCAACCAATCACTGTGTATATGGATTTTATTTATTGAGATTTCTCTTTGGGGCAAATTTCTAGAAATAGCCTACTTTTAGTTTATTTTAATGCTTTTGACATAAATTCTACCTGAATTACAACTCTAAGTAATAATGAAATTGGCGCGTTTCCTCATTTACCCCCTCGTATCTTTTTCTCTTACCTAATTTTACAAAAAAGTCAGTTTATCTTTACACTGTGAAATATTCTTTTTTTTTTTTTTTTCAGGCTGTCGCCTGCCCTGCTTTTTACTCAGGCTACTGGTAGGGGGCATGAGAGACCTTTGGATGATGTATACCAGGCCAGTGCTAGGTGGAAGCAGGTGCTGGGCTGGGAAGGGTGCTTGGGCAGTTTTGTTTGGCTGCCTCCAGGCACTGACAGCCCAGTCCCCTTTTATTTGTTATTTATTTATTTATTTATTTATTTATTATCCTCACCCGAGGACATTTTTCCATTTTTTGTACAGATAGAGTGGGAGGGAGAGAGAGGAAGAGATAGAGAGAGAGAAACATCGATGTGAAAGGGACACATCGAGTGGCTGCCACCGCACGACCAACCAGGGCCGGGGACAAACTGCAACCGAAGTACGTGCCCTTAGCGGGAACCGAACCCGGGTCTCTCCGGACCGCAGGCCGACGCTCTAACCGCTGAGCCAAACCGGCCAGGGCTATTTTTATTTTTATTTATTAATTTTTTTGTGGTATGTGCCCCTAGCAGGAACTGAACCCGGGACTCTCTAGTCTGCAGGCCGATGCTCAACCACTGAGCCAAACTGGCCAGGGCTATTTTTTATTTTTTAAAAATAATTTTCTATTTTCAGTCACATTTGACATACAATATAAATCTATTATGTCATATTAATACAGGTACGCAAGCTTTCTTATGCTTAGTATTTGTGTGGTATGTATATCTTTTGTCACCATTTTACTCTAAACCTGTCAGTGTCTTTATATTTATTAATATATTTTACCCTTATCCAAAAAATATATATACATTTTTTCCACTGATTTTTTTTTTTTTTTTTTTAAGAGAATGGAAGGGAGGGAGGGAGAGAGAGAGAAAAGAAAAAGGATGCCTGGGCCCTGGCCAGTTTGGCTCAGTGGTGAGAGTGTTGGCCCATGGTCCAGAGAGACCTGGGTTCAGTTCCTGCTAAGGGCACGTACCTCAGTTGCAGTTTGTCCTCAGCCTCGGATGGGGTCGTGTGGGTGACAGCCAGTCAATGTGTCTCTCTTACATTGATGTTTCTCTTTCTCTCTTCTTCCCTCTCTCCCTCCCACTTTATCTGAAGATAAATGCGAAAATGTCCTCGGGGGAGGATAAAAAAAAAAAATATGCCTGGCTGGTGTGGCTCAGTGGATTGAGCATTATCCTATGGACTGAGAGGTCCCTGTTCTATTCCCGATCAGGGCACATGCCCAGGTTGTGGGTTTGATCCCCAGTAGGGGCCACACAGTAGGCAGCCAATCGATGTATCTCTCTTACATCTATATTTGTATCTTTCTCTGCCTTCCTCTATCTCTAAAAAATCAGTAAAAACATATTTTTAAAAAAGAGAGAGAGAAACATTGATGTGAGAGAGACACATCAATTGATTGACTCCTGTCAAGTGCCCTGACTGACCACAGGGATCAAACCTGCAACCCAGGCATGTGCCCTTGACTGGGAATCGAACCCGTGGCCCTTTGGTGCATGGGCTGATGCTCTGACCACTGAGCAGAATTGGTCAGGGCAATGTCTTTATATTTAAAAGTCTGTTTCTTGTAGAGAGCATATAGTTGAAACTTGCTTTTATATCTTGTCTCCATATTATGTTTTTATTGGAATGGTTGGACTATTTTTTTTTAAGGTAATTGCAATGTAGTTTAAGCCCTGCCAGGGATGAGAGCATCCATATATGTTTCTTAAGAAGAGCTTGGCACTTTTTAGAGTTTAGTTCATTTAAATTTCTTTATGCCACCCTGCCCGGTTTGGCTCAGCGGTTGGAGCGTTGGCCTGCGGTACAGAGAGACCCAGGTTGGGTTCCCGCTAAGGGCACGTACCTCGTACCTCGGTTGCAGTTTGTCCCCGGCCATGGTTGGTCATGCGGGTGGCAGCCACTCGATGTGTCCCTTCACATCGATGTTTCTCTCTCTTTCTCTTCCTCTCTCTCCCTCCCACTCTATCTGAACAAAAAATGGAAAAATGTCCTCGGGTGAGGATAAAAAATAATAATAATAATAAAAAAATAAATTTCTTTATGCCTTCATCTCTGTGATGAATTTAAAAGGAATTATGATTTTTCATCTTAATCTGAATTATTTTTGGTTGATGGAATAGGCACAGTTATTTATTGTACCTTTCCAGTATCTGGAAGAAGTGGAATTTCTAATTAATATCTATTGAGCACCTATAGCAGTGATTCTTTGGAGGAGCAGTGACTCTTCCTAGGTGATGTTTTATAAATATATCTGAGTGCTTTTGAATGTTGAAATAACTAGGTTGAGGGTGAAGGCTTCTGGCTTTTGAAGGACTGAAAGTCATGGATATAGATCACAGGTTAGACAGCTTTTCTTTTTTCTTTTTTTTTTTTATCCTCACCCAAGGACATTTTTACATTTATCTCCAGACAAAGCGGGAGGGAGAGAGGGAGGAAGAGAGAGAGAGAAACATCAATGTGAGAGAGACACATCGACTGGCTGCCACCCACACAACCCCATCTGGGGCCAGGGACAAACTGCAACTGAGGTACGTGCCTTTAGCGGGAACCGAACCCCGGTCTCTGTGGACCGCAGGTCAACGCTCTAACCGCTGAGCAAAACTGGCCAGGGCTAGACAGCTTTTCTGTAAAGGAATAGACAATAAATAATTTAGGCTTTTTTAGCCATATGGTCTCTTTTGCAAATATTCAACTCTGCCACTGTAGTGTGAAAGTAGCCAAAGACAGTATATAAACAAATGAATGTAGATGTGTTTCAGTAAAGTTTTATTTACAAAACTAATTGGTGGGCCAACTTCTAATCTAAGTGTCCTGCAGTGCACAACAAAGAATTGTTCTATGACTTGCAAAATGAGGATTATAATTGAGGAAAAAAATAAGTTCATAAGTATATGGGTCTAGAACCTCTTACATAAAGCATTTTTTTTTTGTGGCATGATTTTTGTCACATTACTGAATTTATCTATTTTAGTATTATTGCATGGTTTTACTATTAGATAAATCTTTTAGGAATGCTAGTTTGAGAAAGATATATCATATAAACTTTATTTTATTCAGAAATTTGATATTAAAAAACAGCTTTGCCCTGGCCGGTTTGGCTCAGCGGTTAGAGCGTCGGCCTGCGGTCCTGAGAGACCTGGGTTCGATTCCCGCTAAGGGCGCATACCTCGGTTGCAGTTTGTCCCCGGCCCTGGTCGGTTGTGCGGGTGGCAGCCACTCGATGTGTTCCTTTCATGTTGATGTTTCTCTCTCTCTCTCTCTCTCTGTTCCTCTCTCTCCCTCCCACTCTACCTGAACAAAAAAAAATGGAAATATGTCCTCTGGTGAGGATAAAAAAAAAAAAAAAACAGCTTTAAAAAGAACCTCAGCACTGCCCCGGCCAGTTTGGCTCTGCAGTTAGAGCATCAGCCCATGTACCAATGAGACCCGGGTTTGATTCCGGCCAAGAGCATGTACCTCTGTTGTGGCTTGACCCTGGCCCTGGTCGGAGTTTTGCAGGAAGCAATCAGTTGATGTGTCTCTCTCACATCGATGTCTCCCTCTCCCTCCCTCTCCTCCTCCCCTCCCCCTCCCTCCTATTCTATCTAAAAATAAATGGAAAAATATCCTTGGGTGAGGATTAAAAAATAAAATCTCAGCACTGATGACAACACTGCCGTGACATTTAATTTGTGAATATCACACACTTGTAGAATCCTCCATTTGTAGATAACGAATTTCATTTATTCTGCACACATACTTGTACACACACATACATACATATACATATATAGCTGTTTTTCAAAATGTCAAATATAATTTAAAATATGTCAACAATACTTAGTTAAATATTGTCATCTTAGAAATCTAAATTTGTTTATTTCAGGTAGTTGTAAGCATTTAATTATTTGTGCCTTCTACTGTAGTTGTGTATGATCAGTAATATATTGAAATATAACAGTTGATCATTATCTATATTTGGCATAGTGTATAAATATGTCATCATCCATAAGTTTTATTTCAGAAATGGTAGAGAAGTTTTTTGTCAACATTTTCTTTTTGAATATAGAGATCACTGAGTTTGACAGGGGTAAGAACCACCACCTATATCCCCCTGCTTACTGTATATTTTGGGAATGGGAGCAGGAGACTGGAAGAGTAGAGCAACAAAGGTAATTTGAATTTAACTCATTTGGAGCTTTGTGAAAAGCATGGTCTCATGTTTTTTTTTCTCCTCCTCAGCACTGTCTTTTCCAGACGTTGTGCTTCGCCAAGATAGGAATCCAGGAAAGGATTGATCATTTCTTACAGCTATAAAAATCATGGCTGAGGTAAATTGGTATTGTCTCCTGTCCTCTTTAAATAGTCACTTTTTTTTTTTTTTTCAGAGTATGTACATGTTTGCATTCCTTATTCCTGTACCTTCTTTCCTAAGCGGCCCCACTCAGGAATGTGCTCACCAGTTTTTTCCATTCTTATAAATGATAGTGTCTTCTCTAAGTATGTCTTTCTAATCTAACCTATATTCAGAAATCCATTGAACATCTTTGACTAGGAACACTGACATATATAACATAAGTACATTTCCTGATTTTATAAGATAGAGAAGGATGTTAAATGACACCACACATAAGAAAACTTTGATCTTCTCTTTAGACCTAACTTTCCCAGTTAGGCAAGGTAGGAGTTTGTCTTGACTCTGCTTAGTCTCCATAAATGGCAAAATCCCATGCTTTGTGAGCTTTTAAGATTAGGAACATGATTAAAGATTGAATACAAAGAGATCAAGAATCTTCCCTGGGAATCCATAATTGATACCAGTAATGTGGATGATTTTGAGATTCAATATTATGTGCTAATCTTGAATGTATAAGTTTGTATTATCTTTTTCACCTTTCTCTTGCTTAGAACAAGAAAAAGTTATATTCATTGGTGATTAATAACAAGAAAGATCATCATTCACATGGAAAAGCTGTTGAGAATTATAAACTCCCCAAAACAAAAACTGCTTATGATATTTTTATATAACTTAAAAATGTCAAATATGCACACTTATTGAGTAAAGATATATTCATTATATAGAGCAATTATGCAACCTATTAAAAATACTTACTAAATTATTGGTAACAAGGAAAATGCTTATGATGTAATATTCTGATATAACAACAAACCTGAAGTTTCAATATATTCTTCAATTTTATGCAAATCTTATTTTATATGATAGATATTTTATAAGGTTTTACAGAAATATTTACCCAATTATTTTATGTCTTTTTTAATAATTAAAAAAACTTTTTTCAGTTACAGTTGATGTATAATATTGTATTAGTTTCAGTTGTACAACATACTTTTTGGGCATTTATATAACTTACGAAATGATCACTCTGATAAAATTAGTACCCATCTGACACCATACAAGTTATTACAGTATTATTGACTATATTCCCTAGGCTATACTTTACATCCTTGTAACTGTTCTGTAACAACCAATTTGTACCTCTTAATCCCTTCACCTTTTTCACCCAAACTCCTAAACCTCCTCCCTTCTGTCAAAATGTTATCTGTGAGTTTGTTTCTATTCTGCTTGTTCATTTATTTTTGTTTTTTAGAAATTATATGCAATTCTTTTTTCTCTGTCTGACTTATTTTACTCAGCACAATACCCTTTAGATGGCAGGATTTCATTCTTTTTTATGGCTGAGTTATATCCCATTGTGTGTGTGTGTGTGTGTGTGTGTGTGTGTGTGTATAACGTGTCTTCTTTATCCAGTCACCTATTGATTAACATTTAGGTTGCTTCCATATCTTGGGTGTTGTAAATAATGCTGCATTGAGCATATGGATGGATACATGTATTTTTTCGAATTAGTGTTTTGTGTTGCTTTGGATAAATACCAAGAAGTGGAATTACTTGGTGCTTCTTTGTCTCTTGTTATAGCTTTTGTTTTAGTCTATTTTGACTGTATAAATATTGTTATGTCAGCTTTTTTTTTTTATCCTCACCCAAGGACATTTTTCCATTTTTTGTTCAGATAGACTGGGAGGGAGAGAGAGAGAGAAACAACATGAAAGGGACACATCGATTGGTTGCCACCCACACAACCCAACCAGGGCTGTGGACAAACTGCAACCGAGCCACGTGCCCTTAGCGGGAACAGAACTTGGGTCTCTCTGGACCGCAGGCTGACACTCTAACCGCTAAGCCAAACTGGCCAGGGCACGTCAACTTTTTGTTTTGTTTTGTTTCCATTTTCATGAAATATCTTCCATCCCTTTACTTTCAGTCTGTGTGTGTCTTTCAATCTAAAGTGAGTCTCTTGTGGACAGCGTATGTAAGGGTGTTGTTATCTTAACCATTTACCCACCCTGTATCTTTTGATTGGAGCATTTAATCCATTTGCATTTAAAGTAATTGTTCATAGATATATATTTATTGTCACTTTATTACTCATATTTTTTATCTTTTTTTTCTTCTTAAAGAAGATCTTTTAATGTTTCTTATAATACTGGTTTGGTGGTGATGAACTCTAGTATTTTCTTGTCTTGGAAGCTGTTTATCTGTCCTCTGATTCTAAATGATAGCTTTTCTGGGTAGGGTAATCTTAGATAGAGGTCCTTGCTTTTCATCACTTTAAATATTTTATGCCAATCTTTTGGCCTGCAAAGTTTCTGTTGAGAAATCAGTTGATAGTCTTATGGAAGTTCCCTTTTAGGTAACTAACTGTTTTTCTCTTGCTGCTTTTAAGATTCTCTCTTTGTCTTTAGCCTTTGGCATTTTAATTACATGTGTCTTGGTGTGGGCCTCTTTGGGTTCACCTTGATTGAGACTCTGGCCTTCATGGATTTGTGTGCCTTGTTCTTTCACCAAGTTAGGGAAGTTTTCAGTCATTATTTCTTCAAGTAGGTTTTCAATCTCTTGCTCTCTTCTTCTGCTACTCCTATGATATGAATGTTGGTGTGTTTGCTGTTGTCTCAGATTTTTTTTAAACTGTCCTACTTATTTATTTATTTTTGCTACTCTGAGTGTTTTCTGCTATCTTGTCTTCCAAATCGCTAATTTGATCCTCTGCTTCATCTAATCTGCTGTTGATTTTGTCTAGCATATTTCTCATTTTAGTTACTGTAGTCTTCATTTCTGAATGGTTCTTTTTTATGGTTTCTACATTTTTTTTTTTTTTATCCTCACCCGAGGACATTTTTGTTCAGATAGAGTGGGAGGGAGAGAGAGGAAGAGGGAGAGAGAAACATCGACGTGAAGGGACACATCGAGTGGCTGCCACCCGCACGACCAACCAGGGCCAGGGACAAACTGCAACCGAGGTACGTGCCCTTAGCGGGAACCGAACCCGGGTCTCTCGGGACCGCAGGCCGATGCTCTAACCGCTGAGCCAAACCGGCCAGGGGGTTTCTACATTTTTTAATGCCATTGACATTTTTACTAAGTTCCTTGAGCATTATTATAACCATTGTTTTGAACTCTGTATCTGGTAGTTTGATAACCTTCATTTCATTTACTTCTTTTTTTAGTGATGACTCCTGTTCTTTTATTTGGGACATGTTTCTTTCTCTCACCATTTTGGCTGCCTGTCTTTGTTTGTTTCTATGTATCAGGTAGATCTGCTATATCTCCAGTCTTGGTAGGGTGGCCTTATGTAATAGGTATCCTGTAGGGGCCAGTGGAGCAGCCTCTCCTGTCATCTGAGCTGAGCAGTCTATGCATGCCCATGTGTGGGCCATGTGCAGCTTCCTTGATTGCTGTTGGTACATCAGAGGGAGGGATTGCCTGGCCACAACTATAGTGGAGGAACTACAATGCAGAGGCTGACCCCGCCACTTAGATCTCACTACAGTGGGGTTCTGTTGCCTGCTGAATCTGCCCCTTGAGTGTGTTGATTGTGGAAGTGGTTGGGTGGTGCTCCAGTTTATTGTGAAGCTGGCCACAGGGTGCACTGGCTCTGGGGCCATTTGGAATGTTCAGACCAAGGTCAGCTGCTGCTTGTGCCTTGCCTGGGGCTACTTGGCATGAGCTATAAAGTGATCTGCAGATGACTGCTACTTGTGTTGGGCTTGGAGATGCCTGGTAGAAATCAAGGTGTTAACTGAGTTTGACTGCTGCTAGTGCCAGGTCTGGAACCACTTAGCAAGAAGCACATGGCATGCTGAGGACAGATGCTGCTTGTTTGGGGTTGTTAACCTTTGAGAGAATTTAGGAAAGTCCACAGCATGAGCCAATACAGGCCATTTGTATGGAAAAACCACTGGAAACAGCTTGGGTGGCCATGCAAATTGGGTGAAGTGGGGTCTCAGAGACTCTTGTCTCTTTAATAGAGAATAGGAAAGGGAAACTCATTTACTGAGAATGTTTGATGTACAAGATACATATTGTACAGGGTGCTTCTGTATGCTTTTTCTTTCAGTCGGGACATTGCATTTTAAAATTTATATAATTAACGTTAACTCCCAGACTATGTGTATAATAAGATATTCTATATTCAGGAAATGTCTACAGCAACAAGAATTTAAAAGGAACATGTCACTTCAGAAGCACCAATTTTTGTAATGTCTCATCCATGTGAGAGACTTCCTAGCATGGTTGCTCAGTTATATCATCTCCCTCTCCATTGAAAATACATTTTCTTTATTTCCACTACTAGTATTATGTTTGTTGTTTCAGAGATTGGTGATGTTCAGGGATGTTGCCATTGACTTCTCTCAAGAAGAGTGGGAATGCCTGGACTTTGCTCAAAGGGATTTGTACAGAGATGTGATGTTGGAGAACTATAGTAACTTGGTGTCACTAGGTAAGGATATTTACTCCATAGTATTTTAGGATCTATCTTTGGAATGGCTGCCTTATCTGATGTTATTTCAAGGTTGTTTTTAAAGTAATTAACTGATTTTCTTCTTCTCAAATGAACGGTTTTAAATTACTGGAAGTAGACATAGATAGTTTCATAGGGCACATTTATCTTGCCCATCTTTCAAATTTAATTACCTATCTTCTGTCCTCTTCCTATCTTCCTTAATGATCAAGGAGATAGATTTGAATACTGGGACATTTTTGCAAGATTGTCAGAAAAAGTGGGCTATGCATTGTTACAATTCAGATCTGCTAAAGGAGCTTAAATATCTTTATTAAATAAATGCAGGAATTTTTTTTTTCTCACCCGAGGATATTTTTCCATTGCTTCTTAGATAGAATGGAAAGGAGAGAGGGAAGAGCCGGGAAGGGGAGGGGAGAGAGAGTTAGAGAGAAACATCAATGTGATAGAGCACATTGATTGGTTGCCTCCTGAATGACCCAGACCAGGGTGGGAATTGAACCTGTAACCCAGGTATGTGCCCTTGACTGGGAATTGAACCCATGACCCTTCAGTCCATGAGCCAGCACTCTTCATGGTAAGCCAAGTGGCCAGAGTGATCTCCTTTTTTATGTTTCTGTCTTTTTGTTGAAGTCCTCACTGAGATCATCTATTCTTTTCTTAATTTAATTGAGTGTTTTTATAACCTGTTTTAAAGTATGTATTTGACAGATTGCTTGTCTCCTTTCATTTTGTTCTCTTTTTTTGAGTTTTGCCTTGTTCTTTCATTTGGGACAAGTTTCTTCGTCTCCACATTTTGGCTGAAACCCGGTGTTTGTTTCTGTGTGTTGGTGGATCTATTATGTCTCCCCGTCTTGACATAGTAGCCTTATGTGTCCTGTTGAGCCCAGTGGTACAGCCTCCCTCTTTGCCAAAGCAGGTACTCCATGGGTGTCCACTGTGAGTATTGTTTTGTGCCCTCTTGTTGTTGTTGGGTGTCTTCTGTGAGTTTTGTGTGTGCCCTCCTATTGTCATTTGGCCTCAGTTGCTGCTGCCACATCAGTGGTTAGCTTTGACCCTCAATCTATCTGGCTCTGAGGGCTTGTTGTTAATACAGCCGCATGTTTTGTGGTGGTTGACCTCACATAGTGGTAATTGCTTTACTTGGGGCTCTGGTGCCAGCCAAATTTGCCTTCCAGGTGTGTTGTTTGTGGAACTGGTTGGGTGGTGCTTGATATGTTCTGAAGCAGACCTCTATGTGTATTGAATTTGGAGCCTTTTGGGAGGGACTTCTGTGCAGCTCAACATCAGCCACCACTTGTGCTGGGCTCTGTGTTGCTTGGTAGGAACTAAAAAGTGATCTGTGGTTGGTTGCCACTTATGTTGAGTCTGCAGGCACTTGGGAGAAGCTATTTTGTGAATCCCGGCTGGCTGCCTCTTGTGCTGGGCTTCAGACCATTTGGTCGGCACCACGATGTGAGCTGAGGCCAGCCACCACTTGTGCCTGGTTTGTGGCTGCTTATTTGAATATACATTCCATGCCAAGACTGGCCACTGCTTATGACAGGCTTGAGGCCACCTGATGGTAGTTACAATGCAAGTTAAGACCAGTCACTACTTCTGAGAGCCTAGGGCTGCTTAGCAAGAACTACAAAGCATGCTGAGGTTGGCTGCTGCTTATTTGAGGTTTGTGGACCTTAGAGATTTTGGGAGAGTTTGCAGCATGATCCGAGGTAGGTTGCTTATATCGGGGAGCCCCTTGAAGAGGCTTAGGCTGGGAGAGCAAGTTGGGTGGACTGAGGTCTAGGATTCAGCAGAGCAAGGCGAATGGTTTTAGGCAGATTAATGGAAAGCCTAGATTTGGCTCCCATCTGCCTGCACTGGGCTGGCTGGGTCAGGGAAAGCTCAACAAAAGAACAGCGGTGCCTGCCAGTGCTTGCCCACAGAAAGAGTTGCCCAACCCCTGCCCCTCCATCCCTCTCCCTGAAGTTAGTGAATTTTGGTACTCCATTATGTCCCTGGAGCTCTTTGAGCTGTTGCTCCTGCACTCAATCTTAGAGCTAGTGAGTTTGTGAGCAAGTAAGTCTGTATGTGGTCCCTTTTAGACCTATGCCTTGTTCTCTGGCAGCCCTCAGACTTTTTCTGATGCAGTCCACAATTTTCCACAACTAAATGTTATGGGGATTTCTTTTCCCTGCACTAGTTCCCGAGGCTGGGGAGCCACGTATAGATGTGGACTCCTTACTCAGGGTGGATGGACCTTCACAGCTGAGATATCCTTCCTGATTTTAAATTGCCCACCAGGGTTGTGGGTCCTGCCTCTTCTTCATCTCCGCCTTTCCTATTTGTCTGGAGTTGGCTTCTTTATAGTTTTAGTTATAGGAATTCTGCTCAAATAATCTTCAGGTGGTTCTCAATGATGGTTGTTCTATACTTTAGTAATTTGATATGGTCATGGGAGGAGGGGAGCATAGTTTGCCAATTCTGCCATTTTGACCAGCAGTCTGTAGGTTTTCAACTTTATGATATGACACCTGTATATTATACTATGTGCTCTGGAACCAAACTCAGGTTTTTTTCAGTCACTGTATATTTGACCCCCTTTACATTCTTTGTCCTTCTCTTATCTCCCTTCCCCCAGGTAGCCACTATTATGCTGTCCGTAGGTATGAGTTTGTTTTTTATTTTTATTTGTTGCTTTTTGTTTTATATCCCACATATGAGTGAAATCATATGGTTCTTGTCTTTTCCCATCTGACTAATTTCACTTAGAATAACACTTTCAAGATCTATTCATGTTGTTGCAAATGGCAATATTTAATGTTTTCTTAAAACTAAGTAGTATTCCATTGTATATGTGTATCACATTTTATCCATTCATCCATTGAAGGATACTTTAAAGTTTTTTTTCTATGTTTTGGCCTTTGTAAATAATGCTGCTATGAAAATAGGGATACAAGTATCTTTACAAAGAAGTATTTTCAGATTTTCATGTAGATACCCAGAAGAGGGATTGCTGGGTCATATGGTAGCTCTATTCTTAATTTAATGAGGAACCTCCATACTGTTTTCTGTAGTGCCTTCACCATAGTACCTTTACATTTGCAAAAGGAGTGTGCAATGGCTCTGTTTTCTCAAAATCCCCTCCAACACTTATTTCTTGTGTTATTGATAAGCCATTTTAACAGGTGTGCAATGATATCTCTTTATGATTTTGATTTGCATTTTCCATATAACTAGTGATGCTGATCATCTCATATATCTGTTGGTCATCTGTATGTCTTCTTGGGAAAAAGGTATGTTCAGGCCCTCTTCACATATCTTAGTTGAATTGATTTTGTTCTTGTTGAGTTGTACGAATTCTTTATATATTTTGGATATTGGCCCCTTATTGGAGATATTGTTGCAAATATCTTCTCCCATATGGTTGGTTGTCTTTTAGTTTTATTGATGGTTTCTTTTGCTGTACAGAAGATTTTTAATTTGATATTATTCCATTCATTTATTTTTTTCTTTTACTTCCCTTGACTTTGGGGTCAACTTTACAAAAATCCCTCTGAGACCAAGGTCTATAAGTTTAGTGCCTATGTCTTTATCTAGATATTTTATTGTTTCAGTTCTTACACTGAAGTCTGTAATCCATTTTGTGCTAATTTTTGTGTATGGTAGTACATAGCAATTTAGTTTTATTCTATTGAATATGGTTTTCTAGTTTTCCCAGCACCATTTATTTAAGAGACTTTCTTTTCTATTGTATATTCTTGGCACCTTGTCTGACATTTAGTTGCCTATTTACATGTGGGCTTATTTTTGGGATCTCAATTCTGTTCCATTGGTCTGTGGTCTGTTTTTCTGCCATACCATTATTGTTTTGATTACTGTAGCTTAGTAGTATAATTTGAAATTAGTGAGTGTGATACCTTCAGCTTGGTTCTTTATCTCAGCATTGTTCTGGCTAATCAGGGTCTTTTGTGGATTCGGATAAATTTGAGGATTGTTTTTTTCTATTTCTGTGAATAATGCCATTGGGATTACATCGAATCTGTATATTGCTTTAGTTACTAGTGCCATTTTAACAATGTTCCAATCCATGACCACAGAGTATCTTCCTATTTTTATTTATTGATTTTTTTAGAGATAGAGAAAGGGAGATAGAAATAGAAACATTGATGTGATAGAGAAACACTGATTGGCTGCCTCCTGCATGCCTTCTACTGGGAAGTGAGCCTTCAGCCTGGGCACGTACCCTGACTGGGAATTGAACCAGGACTTCTCAATCCATGGGACAACACTCAATCCATTGAGCCACACCAGCTGGGCTCATTTGTCCTTTTGTTGTTATCCTCCCTCGAGGACATTTTTGCATTTCTTTAGATAGAGCGGGAGGAAGGGTGGGGGGAGAGAGAGAGAGAGAGAAACATTGATGTGAGAGAGACACATCGAGTGGTTGCCACCCATATGACCACAACCGGGACTGAGGACAAACTGCAACCAAGGTACATGCCCTTAGTGGGAACCAAACCCTGGACTCTCTGGTCCACAGGCTGACACACTAACTGCTGAGTCAAACTGGCCAGGGCTTATGTGTCCTTTTCTACATGTTAATATATATGAGGTCATTCTAAGCTAATACTTTGTCAAATTATAGGTAGCAAAACATTACTGCAATATGAAAGTAGTGGGTTTTTACTATGCATGTGTGTGTGAGAGAGAGACAAAACTAGAATAGAAAATGGTAGGTATTGTTTAATGAAACTATAAATGTAGCTGATTGTGCTGTGAAAGGTAAGTAGGTATTACTATAGGTCATAGTAAATAATATTTTAAAAACACTGATGTAAGCCAGTTATTTCTTATGGGTATCATTTCCCTATATATATATTTCTATGTAGTGTTTTTTTACTATGGGAGTTCTACTTTTTCTGAAATGACAACCAAAATTTTTTATTGTTTTTTTTTTTTTTTAATTTTCAGATTTGCCTTCAAGGTGTGCAAATAATTACTTACCTCCAAAAAAGGACACTCATGAAACAGAATTATTTCAATGGGAAATCAGTGACAGGCTTGAAAACTATGATCTTAAGGAGTCCAGTTCTAGAGATTATTTGGAAGTCAGAGGCACATTGGAAAATCAGAAGGAGTATTTCAGGCAAGGAATGATCATATATGAAAAAATGTCCATTTTCAATCAGCATACTTACTTATCTCAATATCCCACATGTCATTCTGAGAAACCCTATAAATGTAAGGAATGTGGGAAGGCCTTTAGACGAGCCTCACACCTAACTCAACATCAGAGTATTCATACTGGTGAAAAACCCTATGAATGTAAACAGTGTGGGAAGGCCTTTAGTCGTGATTCACAGCTCAGTCTTCATCAGAGACTTCATACTGGTGAAAAACCCTATGCATGCAAGGAATGTGGGAAGGCTTTTACTCAGAGCTCACAACTTATTTTACATTATAGAATTCATACTGGTGAAAAACCATATAAGTGTGAACAGTGTGGGAAAGCCTTTATTCGTAGTTCACAACTAACCCGGCATCAAAAAGTCCATACTGGAGAGAAACCTTATGAATGTAAAGAATGTGGGAAGGCCTTTACTCAGAACTCACAACTTACTCTGCACCAGAGACTTCATACTGGTGAGAAACTCTATGAATGTAAAGAATGTAGAAAGGTCTTTACTCAGCTCTCACAACTTATTCTGCATAAGAGAAGTCATACGGGTGAAAAACCCTATGAGTGTAAGGAATGTGGGAAAGCTTTTATTTGTGGCTCACAGCTTTCTCAACATCAGAAAATTCATAATGGGGAAAAGCCATATGAATGTAAAGAATGTGGGAAGGCCTTTATTCGTGGCTCATTACTTATGCAACATCAAAGGATTCACACTGGTGAAAAACCTTATAAATGTGAACAGTGTGGGAAGGCCTTTATTCGTGGTTCACAACTTACTCAACACCAGAGAATTCATACCAATGAGAAGCCTTATGAATGTAAGGAATGTGGAAAGACTTTTAGTCATGGTTCACAACTTACTCAACATCAGAGAATTCATACTGGTGAGAAACCCTATCAATGTAAGGAATGCGGAAAAGCCTTTAATAGAGGCTCACTCCTTACTCGGCATCAGAGGATTCATACTGGTGAGAAACCCTATGAATGCAGAGAATGTGGAAAGACCTTTAGTCGTGGCTCAGAACTTACTCAACATGAGAGAATTCATACTGGTGAGAAGCCCTATGAATGTAAGGAATGTGGAAAGTCTTTTATTCGTGGCTCACAGCTTACTCAACACCAGAGAATACATACTGGAGAGAAACCTTATGAATGTAAAGAATGTAGAATGGCCTTTACTCAGAGTTCACATCTTTCTCAACATCAGAGACTTCATACTGGTGAGAAGCCCTATGTATGTAATGAATGTGGGAAGGCATTTGCTCGTGGCTTACTACTTATACAGCATCAGAGAATTCATACAGGTGAGAAACCTTATCAGTGTAAGGAATGTGGGAAGGCCTTTATTCGTGGTTCACAACTTACTCAACATCAGCGAATTCACACTGGAGAAAAACCCTATGAATGCAAGGAATGTGGGAAGGCCTTTAGTCATGGTTCTCAACTTACTCTACATCAAAGAATCCATACTGGTGAGAAGCCCTATGAATGCAAAGAATGTAGAAAAGCCTTTACTCAGAGCTCACACCTTTCTCGACATCAGAGAATTCATACTGGTGAGAAACCATATCAATGTAAGGAATGTGGGAAGGCCTTTACTCGTGGTTCACAACTAACTCAACATCAGAGGATTCATATCAGTGAGAAGTCTTTTAAATATAAGGAATGTGGAATAGACTTTACTCATGGCTCACAAGTTTATATATGAATTATATGAATCTTTGTGGTTGATATAGAGAGCCTTCTGTGGTCATTAATCCATTACCATCAAAGAATTCTTAAAATGTGAATATGGGAGCACACTTGCCTCATAAAACACAGCATCAGTGAATTTATGGGGGAAAGATAATGATAATGTAATCCATGTAGAAAAACCGATCGTTACTGGAAACTGATTAAACTTTAGTGAATTTTAATAGACAGTAATTTGTTAATGTAGTAAATGTAGGAAGGCCTTTTGCCTTAGCACATGTCTTTTTCAACATTATTTTGACTCTACCAGTTGCTTTCCTTTGTGACATTTGTTATGATAATTAACTTCCACCCTTGTTTAATCATTTGTAAGAAAACACAATAATACCTTTCTTATCAGATTCTTGAAAGTATTATGTGAGTTATTACATGTAAAGCTTTTAGAACAGTGCCTTGAACATAGCATAGCACAATACTAGCTATCATTATAATGTTAGATCATTTGCATGAGAGGAGGACACTTATAAGTATAATGAATATTGAGAAATATTTCATTTAACACTTAACCCCAATTTGAGTGGGGGGCACTGTATGCTATAATAAATGTGAGAAAGCTTTCATTTAGATTTTACCCAATATGATAAAAGAGGAAATTCATATTGTACAAAAAACACTGTAGGTTTAACCAGTTGATTGTTGAAGAAGTGTTAAGTGAATTGTAACAAAGTCCAAAAACTCTATTTCCTACTATTTCTGACCACAATTCAAGAATATTATTTAGAAATTTTAAAAAAATGGATATCCAAAATAAATCTTTCTACCAGGGACTGTTTTAAAACTTGGGTTTACAGCTTTTGATTAAACTGAAAATAAAAACTGATATTACAGACGTTTTTGCAATGAAGAAATGAGAGTCTATGTCAGAGACTGCTGTTTTTCTGCCAATAGTCACTTTTCTTCTTTAGTAATAGAATTCTTGGTTGAAAACCTATGTCATCTTCCCTTATAGATCATTAAGGTGGAAATGGTATTTAAGAAATCTTTTCTCTATTTTTTTTCCCCTTTGCCTACAATGTGGACATTTAATCTGCAGCTGTGGCAGTTTTATGAGAACTTTGAAAATGGGTATTAAGGATGGTGGAGCAGAAATTCAGAACAAATACACACCTCTCCTGATTTTATGGAACAGCCATAACAACTCTGGTCTTCCTGCCTCCTGTATTTCTTTATATAAAAATGAAAATAAACTTATTTATTGCTGCTGTTGTCATTTCCTTGTTGACAAAATTATTAAGGATATAAAATCTTGTATCTGGATATGGAGTGCTGTGGGTAAAATCTCAAATATCACATTGCCTTAGGGCTATGGAGAATGAGTATCTACCCATCTCAGACTTGAAAATTGAAGATTGTTTTTATACACAAGACATTTGGTTAGACTCCCACTCTGTCTCACAGGCATATCTTGTGCCAATCAAGACTATGATATTAGGGGAAATGATAGGTGTGACTCAAAATGTGTGTGTTGGATGTTTCTGCATTCAGTAATGTCCTGTGAAGGAAATTTAGTGTCAAGTTAGCTACAGAGACTGCTTGCAGAGATTGAAAACAATATTGCTTTGTTAAGGGATGCAGGTGCTTAATCCAGATTGATGGTAAATTTAAGAACTTTGATCCTTGTGGGATTCAGAATGCCAAACTGTCTTTAACTGAAATCACTTACAATGATTTAAAGTGGCAGCCTTTGTACTATGACTCCCTGTCTTCATGGGGTAACCTTATGTAGTAAGTGCTCTGTAGACCCATTGTTGCAATCTTCCTGATCTCCTGGGCTGGATGCTGTAGGAATGTCCCTTGTGTTGGTTATGTGGGTCCTCTGTTGTAATTGGGTCTTGATTGCTGTTGCCCTGTTCATGCTTTGGATCGACAATCAGGCTGGTTGACTGTGAGCCTCCACCCTGACCACAGCATGCAAACTGCTTTGCCACTGACATCTTGAGGTGTCTTGTTGGGCTCAGTTACACAATCTTCCAGATCATCTCAGCTGTGTGCTCCAGGAATGTTTCTTGTGGGTTTTGTGTACTCCCTTTTGTACTCAAGGCTTGCTGTTGGCCCTGTTGTGGGTGGCGTTAACCCTTTAGGCTGGGTGACTATAAGGGTAAATCCCAATCACCATGCATGAGACACTGTGCCGGGGCTGTCCCCTGTGGCAGGGTTGTTTCCAGCAGGGTCTGGTGCCTGCCAGAATCTCCCTTGTGGTTTGCTACTTGTGTGACTAGTTGGGTTGAGCAGTGGTATATTCTGAAGCCCACCACTGGTTGTATTGGTTCTGGGTCCAGTTGAGTGTGGTTCAAGTACTGGTTGCCGTCACACATTGTGTTGAACTAGCCTTGGGCTACCATTCTGCTGCTCCCATGATATTTACTGTTTGTGTCTGCATCTACTGGATCTGCATGTGCATGGAAGGGAGTCAGTCTGCGTAAAAACGTTGGCTACTTCCAGCTTTGAGATGTGGGCAGGTCTGAGGTCTGCCTCTACCTGTCAGCTACTATGCTTCCCCTGAGGTTGCCTGGTCTTCCTCCAGAGTCTTCTGAAATTAGACTGTAGTATGAGCCCAGGCTAGCTGAGTAAGAGCCCAGGCTAGCTGTAGTATGAGCCCAGGCTAGCTGTAGTATGAGCCCAGGCTAGCTGAGTTAGAGCCCAGGCTAGCTGTAGTATGAGCCCAGGCTAGCTGAGTTAGGGCAGTGGGCCCCCTACTTGGGAATCACACATTCAGGCACCGAATGAGGGGAAAGGAGCTCCTGTTTCAAATCAAAGCCCCTCAGTCTCTGCCAGTCTCCAGTTCTAGTTCCCACTAAGGGGGCACACTGCAGGTTTAGGTTGGATACAACCAGCCATCCTTTCTGCAGGAACAGGCTCAGCTGCCCTGGACTCAAGGTGATAGATCTAAAGTATTTCTTGTTAAGGATGTTATCAGCCCAGCCTGTAGGAGGGGGCTGTCAGACTTTAGACTCTGAGGATCTCACACTTTGAATGTCCCTGCTCTAACTACTCTCCTATCCCCCATGGAACTGTGCACAGCAGGGATATTTGGGACTTGGAGGGCTAATCCAATCTCCTTTTGGAGTGGGGCTCACAAACTGTAGAAGACAAGTGGGCTCTTCCTGGTGTAACGGGCTGAACTCAAATGAGTGTCTGGATTTGCCTCCCTACAATATAGCCACACAGCACAGCACTTCCCTATCTGGCTCCCAGGCAGAAGCCTCCTTGGGCCCCAGTCTGGAAATCATAGCTCTGCGCATCTTCCCAGCATCCCTGCCTCGTGCTGCTGAACAAAACAGGACAGGACCATGGGTCAGCCCTGCACCTCACTCCAATCTCTCTGCGTGGCTGGTCTGCAGGGTGGGGCTTAAAGTCCCAACTCTGCTTGGGCTCTGTACCTAGTAGGACAGCACACAAAGTCTGGCTCCCTCCCGCTGCCAAATGCAACAGGATGGGGCAGGCAAAGTAGCTTAGTAAGTGTGGAGGGGCTTTGGCTGTGAGCTCAAAGTGGAGGAGACTGGTCCTGTTTTCCAAGCCACACAGTTTAGTCACTGTTTTGGTCACCACCAAAAGCCTCCCCAGGAAACAGGGCACTTTAAAGTCACTGCTGGGTGCAGCCAGTCTACCCCTCTACAGGGCCTGAGTATGACAGCATGACCTCACTGGAATCTGGAGTGAACTCCCCAGTCTGGTGGTGTAACTTTAGGAGTGCTCTTTCCCTGGGAGGTTGCAATTTGAGTCCTCAGGCAGATCAAATCCCCAGACTCCCACCGCCATATGCCGTGTGAGCCCCTCTTCTCATCTCTCTTCCTCTGAGTTGGGGATCCCCACATGGGGGGTGAGATCCCACCTTCCAAGGGCGAGGAAATTCAGTAGCTGTGGTATCCCTCTGGCTTTTCAGTACCGCCATACCTGTGTGAGGGGGCTCTTCCTTTCCACTTCTCTGCCCTTCTTGCCAGTTTCTATGTGGCTTCTTCTGTACTTCTTGATAATATTATTTCATATCAGCTAGTCTTAAATTGGTTTTTCAGGTTTATTGCTCTGTAATTTAGCTGTAAATCTGGTGTGGGCCTCAGAGCAAGTGGGCTCAGTTTACAACTACCCCACAGCCATCTTGGAATCTCATCATATTTCTGTTGGGCAGTGCTGATCTACTTTGTTCACTACAGCTGAGAAGAAAGCCATTGAAGATTGGAAAGTCTCTAGACAAAAGAAGGCAAGAGCTCAGAGTTAATTTAACTTTTCTCTAATAATTTGTAATCCAATATAATTGTTTATCCAGTAGGAATAGAGGTAGTTGAAGAGAGACTTGCCTTAGGTACTGGGAAGTTTCCATTTGGCAAGTCTCTTCTTTGTATCCACTTTCAGTCTAAAATCTATGCAGTATATTAGTTTAACATCTGAAAGCCTACTTCAAAGCTATTGATGAGCATGAAATTTAAGCAGTACAGTGATGTTCCAGATCCATGTAATTTATTTAAATATTTTTAAATATACAAAATATTTAAATTCAGCCCTGGCCAGTTTGGCTCAGTAGTTAGAGTGTCAGCCTGCGGTCCAGAGAAACCCAGGTTCGGTTCCCACTAAAAGGCACGTACCTCGGTTGCAGTTTGTCCCCGGCCCTGGTTGGGTCATGCAGGAGGCAGCCACTTGATGTGTCCCTTTCACATCGATGTTTCTCTCTCTCTCCCTCTCTCTTCCTTTTTCTCCCTCCCACTCTATCTGAACCAAAAAAATGGAAAAATGTCCTTGGGTGAGGATTAAAAAACAAACAAACAAATAATTAATTAATTAATTTGGCATTTATTTCCTTAAATACTATAAGGCATTCTAATTACTACTAACTGCACTCAGAAATAAAAATTATGCTGGATATTGATTATAATTGTAGTGACTAAGTTAACATAGGCATACATCTTGAAATCCAGAATTATAGTGTATTTTTGCTTCTCTGTACTACATACCTATTTTAAGTAAATTTAGTCTCCACCCCATTTATATGGTAATGGCCTTGCATTATTTGCTTCCTTGTTTCCTTTCCCCTACTCCATACATTTTATAAAATAATAATAACTACCATTAAGACTACTAGGCATTTAATATGTGTTATGATAAATTCATTAAACAGTTCTATGACAAAGGTAGAATTATCTCCCTTTAACATCTAAGAAAAGTGACTTCAGAAAGGGTAGTAATTGGTCTATGAGAACTCTAGATATTTAGGTTAGAAACAACAGAATTAATAAATAAAGCTGCATAAAAAAATGGTGCCCTGGTCCTGGCCTGATTTGCTCAGCGGTTAGAGTGTCGGCCCGCGGACTGGAGAGTCCCAGGTTTGGTTCCCGCTAAGGGCATGTACCTTGGTTACAGTTTGTCCCCAGCCCCGGTTGGGGTTGTGTGGGTGGTAACCAGTTGATGTGTCTCTCTCACATTGATGTTTCTCTCTCTTTCCTTCTCTCTCCCTCCCGCTCTATCTGAAGATAAATGCAAAAATGTCCTCTGGTGAGTGTTAAAAAAAATAGTAAAGAGGAAATTCTGTCATTTCAACAACATGAATGAACCCGGAGGACATTATGCTAAGTGAAATAAGACAGAAAGACAAATACCATATAATCTCACATGTGAACTCTTCAAAAGAATAGTTGAACTCAGTAACAGAAAGTAGAGAATGATAGTTATCAACAGGTTGGGGGATGGTTAAAGGGAAGATACTGAACAAAGGGTACAAATGTCAGATACAAGATGAGTAAGTTATGAACACATAATGTACAGTATGGTTAATAATGTATACTTGAAATGTGCTAAAAAAGTAGATCTCCAGTGTTCTTCCCCACACACACACACACCACAGTGATAACTATGTAAAGTGATGTTAACTAGCTTGATTGTAGTAATCATTTTACAATGTATAAATAAATCAAAACATCATGTACAACTTAAATATATCCACTTTTGTCAATCATACCTCAAGAAACAAAAAACTTGGGAGTGAGGAAGAATGATGGGAAAACGTAGTAACTAGGTTACAAAATGCTCAGTTTAAAAATATAGTCACTCAAAATTCTGAGACATGGAAGGATAGTCACCGAATTGTTAACAGTGATTGCATCTGGAAGTAGATTATAGGTGAGCTTTTCTAAAGAGAATGGTGAATATCAATGGGAACAGCATCAGCAAACCTGAGGAATGGTAAATAAATAACTGACAAAAGCAAATATTATTTAAATATTTTTATTATGAAAGTTTAAATATACAAAAGATACAGAGAATAAGAACCTATCTATAAAACCTGACCAGCTTTATCAAATTATAATTGACCATACTTGCTTATATTTTGAAGAAACAAATTAACATTTGCATCCTTTCCTCAATCTCATTATTCGCTGTCTCCAGAGGTCACCACTGTTCTGAATTTGATGATTATTTCCATGAATGTTACGACACTATTTCTATATGGTATTTAGCAATGAAAATAAGTGCTGACTTGCACATTTACAAATGTTATATAAAGTGGTACCATGCCATACAAAATACTCTCTGGTTCAATTGGGGGGTTTGTCCACGTTGATAGAAGTATATCTAGTTCCTTCATCTTAATTTGGGTTCTAATTTATATTCACCCTAATGGTTATTGTGATTGCTTTCAACTTACATTCTCACAAACAATGCTTAAGTGAATCTTCAAGTACATCTCCCTGAACACAAGGAGAGATTCTACAGAGGTTTAAGTGTGAATTTGTTGCGTCAGAGTATCCACATCCTCAACTTTACTAGATATTGCCTAACTATTCTGAACACAACTAATTTCAAATAGCATTCTACTAACATTCCTATTGCTGTTATATTTTTTATCATTGGCAATGTAATGCTTTTGCCAATGTGATGATCTTGAAATAGTTCATTGACATTTTGTTTGCATTTCCCTTACTACTAGTGATGAATATAGTCAATTATTGTAATATCCTCAATTCTATCCTTTCTTTACTGGTATGAACAATTATTTTTTTGGTTATTCCTCACATGAGAATATTTTTTCCATTGATTTTTTTTTTAAGATAGAATGAAAGGGAGGGAGGGAGAGAGAGAGAGAGAAGTAGAGAGAGAGAGAGAGACATTGATTGGTTGCCTCCTGCATGACCCCAAGCGGGGCCAGAGATCAAACCTGCAACTCAGGTACATGCCCTTGACCGGGAATCAAACCCATGACCCTTCAGTCTGCAGGCTGATGCTCTAACGATTGAACCAAATTGGCCAGGGCAGAACCATTTTTTTTCATAGGCAAAATTTCTACAAATATATAATACCCAAGAATTTTCTTGCCATTCTTAAGAATTCATACTACACAGATGAATTTCAGAACAAAATTGTAAAAATAAAAGAGGAAAGGGCCCATTCAGAAATTTTGTTCAAAATGCAGTAAATCTGTGAATTAGGAATAACTGGTAACTTTTTAATTTTCAGTCTAGACTATATAATAGTCCTCAATTTCATTATTCTTTAGTTTTCTGAGTGTGAAAATCTATGCTTATATTTAAGTATTTACACTCTCAGCCTCTGGAATTCTACTCCATGAGAAACACGGTGTTTGTATTGATCATCATTGTCTCTTCATGCCTAAGACAGTGAAAGTACCTGGCAAATCGTAGCTACTCAATATTCAAGTAATAAATGAATATATAGTTTTCTTCCCTAAGTCTCCTTCTGATTTCAATTTTACAATCACTGGATTAACATATTTATAAATATTACACTTTTTCCCTACAGCATGAAATAGTTTAAATGCTTTGAAATTACCTAGATTCAGTTATACAACTACCTGGACATGGTGCCTTTTTTTTTTTTTATCCTCACCCAAGGACATTTTTCCATTTTTTGTTCAGATAGAGTGGGAGGGAGAGAGGAAAAGAGAGAGAGAGAGAGAGAAATATCGATGTGAAAGGGACACATCGAGTGGCTGCCACCTGCACGACCAACCAGGGCCGGGGACAAACTGCAACCGAGGTATGTGCCCTTAGCAGGAACCGAACCCGGGTCTCTCTGGACTGCAGGCTGACACTCTAACCGCTGAGCCAAACTGGCCAGGGCACCTTTTTATGGAACATGAAATTCATAAACCTAGTATAAATTTCTAGGTTTATGAGTTTTGATTTGTTGTTGTTTAAAGTTAGTTGTGATGCTCTATGTTTTTCTTTATCTAAATGTAAGCTCTGTATTTGTACTAAATCCTCATTTTAATTGGTTTATCCCATTCATCCTCTCTGGATACTTCCTAAAACTGGTTATAAGTGTTATATTTCTACTACTTGTGTCTATATTGATTACTCACCTAGAGTACAAAGACATCACTTATGTTCTAAAATTTTTAGGTTTCCCAGTTCTGACTTGTTGCTTCTCAGGTATGTTCTAATTGTCTAGCTATGAGGGGTAAGTGGGTTAATATATGTTGAGTATGTAGAACAATGTCTGACATAGTAGGCACTCAATAAATGTTAGCTATCATTATTTACTGAATATGTGCTATATTTAATGTACTATATGAAGTACTTTATGTGAAAAATATGTATCAATTTACAACATATACTATTTCATTTAATACATCTCTAAAATACAGTATCCTTTATTATCCCTATTTTATTTATTTTATCCTCACCCGAGGACATTTTTCCATTTTTTGTTCAGATAGAGTGGAAGGAAGAGAGAGAGAGAAACATCGACGTGAAAGGGACACATTGAATGGCTGCACCCGCACGACCAACCAGGGCTGGGGACAAACTGCAACTGAGGTATGCGCCCTTAGCGGGAACCGAACCCAGGTCTCTCTGGACCATAGGCCGATGCTCTAACCGCTGAGCCAAACCGGCTAGGGCTATTATCCCTATTTTAAAATTAAAGAAAACCCTGAGGTTTTGATAAGTGAAGCAAATTACTCAATGTCACATAGTTCCACAGTAGTGGTAGAGCTATAATTTTCTAGAATCTAAGCTTTTCATTCCGGGAAGTATTTAGTGCCCAGAGAGTAACACTAAAATAAAATAAGGCTGAGATGTACGTAAGAACCAGATAATAAAGCACCTCACAGACAATTTTAAAGACCATAGATGTTAGCTTAAGAACAATAGCAAGTCAAAAACATTTTAATTGGAGGCAATAATGTATGTATTATTACACTTCAAAAAATACCATTTCTAGTGCATGGTGAGAAATAAATTTAAGGAAACCAAAATTGATATAGGAAGGCCTGTTAGAAAAGGTGTAGCAATGAAATGGATCTTAAATTAGGGTGACATTAAAGATGGAGAAAAAAGTATAAATTCCTGAAATATTTATAATAGGGTCTACAAGACTTGGTGATTGACTGAATTAGGCAGTGAAAGTGACAACCCAAGATGGATTCTCTGATGATGAGCAAGGTGTGCATGCTGCCTGAAGGTTTTCTTGCATTCCTTACATTCATAGGGTCTCTCTCCAGTATGAATTCTCTGATGTTGGGCAAGGGATCCACAGTAACTAAAAGCCTTTCCACAAACATTACATTCGTAAGGTTTCTCTCCAGTATGAACTCTCTGATGTTGGGTAAGGGATGAGTCATTGCTAAAAGCCTTCCCACATTTAATACATTCATAGGGTTTCTCTCCAGTATGAACTCTTTGATGTTGAGCAAGGTAAGCAATCTGGCTGAATGCTTTCCTACATTCCTGACATTTATAAGGTTTTTCTCCGGTATGAATTCTCTGATGTTGAGCAAGGTGTGAATTCTGACTGAAGGCCTTCCCACATTCCTTACATTCATAGGGTCTTTCTCCAGTATGTATCCTCTGATGTACAGTAAGGTATGCACGAAGGCTAAATGCTTTCCCACACACATTACATTCATAAGGTTTCTCACCAGTATGAACTCTCTGGTGTTGAGCAATGGATGATCTATTGCTAAATGCTTTCCCACATTCAATACATTCATAGGGTTTCTCTCCAGTATGAACTCTCTGATGTTGAGCAAGGTAGGCAAACTGGCTGAAGGCTTTCCTACACACCTTACACTCATAAGGTTTTTCTCCAGTATGAACTCTTAGATGTTGAACTAGGTGAGCATTCTGACTAAATGCTTTCCTACATTCCTTACATTCATAGGGTTTCTCTCCAGTATGAATCCTCTGATGTTGAACAAGATTTGATCTCTGGCTGAAGGCCTTCCCACACTCTACACATTTATAGGGTTTCTCTCCAGTATGAATTCTTTGATGAAGAGTAAGGGATGAGCTCTGGCTGAAAACTTTTTCACAGTCATTACATTTCAAAAGTTTCTTCTCTGTATAGATATTCTTGGGTTTAATAGCCATTAAATTTTTTTTAAAGCTTTTCTTATATGTGTCACGTTTATGTACTTTCTCCTCTTTTGGAAGTATCTGTTGTGTATGAAGCAGTGTGTTCAGATGGAATATTTGCCAAGATTTGTTATATTCTTGTCCTCTTTCATAAACAAGGGCTTCTTCATTAGTATTTGTCTCTTTTTTGAAATGCACCTTCTGATTCCCTGGGTGCCTTTCAGAATGGCTCTCACACTTCCATTCCTCTCTCAAATCGGAGTACTCAAGATCACAGCTTGTAAGTTTTTCTGTTATCCTCTGAGATGACTGTGCTTTGTAAATGTCCTGCCTTGGGGTTAATTCTTCACTCTCATACACAAATTTCCAGCCTGAAAAAGAATAATAAAAAATATCTTCTCTATTATGTAGCAGGAGGTACATTTATGAAAGTACATAGAGAGAAGTATGTGAGTTTAATAGCAAATAAAACCAACAAAAACATTAACTTTCATAGTTCTGAAGTGTGTAAGAACAAAAAGTTAAAATAGGTTATACAGAAACTTGAGGAGGAATAATTAGAATTATAGAAAAATCAGTAAGGTAAATCTCAGGTCAAGAAGCAATTATAGACTTAAAATTCTCAGTAATGTGGGAATAGAGGGAGTATACCTCAACATAAAAATCACATATGAAAAACCCACAGCTAACATCATACTCAATGGCGAAAAGCTGAAAGATTTTTCTTTAAGATCAGGAACAACGCCTGGCCAGTGTGGATCAGTGGATTGAGTGTTGTCCCATGGACTGAGAGGTCTCAGTTTGATTACCGGTCAGGGCACATGCCGGGATAGCAGGCTCAGTCCCCAGTAGGGATTGTACAGGAGGCAGCCAATTGATGTTTCTCTCTCACATCAATGTTTCTATCTCTCCTTTCCTCTCAAAAAAAAAAATTCAATAAAAAATACTTAAAAAGGTCAAGTACAAGACAAGATTGCCACTTTCACCACTTTTATTAAACATAGTATTGCAAATTCTAGCCACAGCAATCAGACAAGGAAAAAAAGTAAAAGGAATCCAAATGGAAAAGAAAGAAGTAAAACTGTCGTCATTTGCACATAACATGATACTACATATAGAGAATCCTAAAGCTTCCAAAAAAAAACTTTAGAACTAATAAATTCAATAAAATAGCAGGATACAAAATTAATATCAGAAATCAGTTGCATTTTTATATACCACCAATGAAATACCAAAAAAAGAAATTAAGAAAACAATCTTATTTACAATTGCATTACAAAGAATAAAATATCCAGGAAAACAATTTAAATAAGGAAGTAAAAGAACTATAAGAAATTAAGATACAAGTAAATAAAAAGATATACCATGCTTATAGATTTTTTAAAAAGTAACACTCTTACTCCCCAAAGTAATCCACGATCAATACAATCCCTATCAAAATACCAATGGCATTTTTCACAGAACTAGAATAATCCTAAAATTTATACAAAAGCATACAAGACCCTGAATAGCCAAAACAATCGTGAGAAAGGACAAAGTTGGTGGTATCATGCTACCTGACTTCAAACTATGCTACAAGGGGATAGTAATCAGAATAGCATGGTATTGGTATAAAAATAGACACAAAGATCAATAAAACAGAATAAAGCCCAGAAGTAAATCCATGCATCCGTGGTCAATTATTCTACACAAAAGAGGCAAGAATATACCATGGGGTAAAGACATTCTCTTCAGTAGATGTTGTTGGGAAAACGGGACATACATGGGAAAAACAAACCAGACCACCTCCTTTCTCAATATCTAAAAATAAACTCAAAATAGATTAAAGACTTAAATGTAAGACTTGAAACCATAAAACTCCTAGAAAAAAATAACATAGGCAGTAAACTTTTTGACATCACTCTTAGCAATATTGTTTTTGTATGTTTCCTCAAATAAGGGAAATAAACAAACAAAAAAAAAAACTAGTGATACAGATATCAAGTACAGCATAGGGAATATAGTCAATAATTATTTAGTAACTATACATGGTGTCAGATGGGTCTAGACTTATTGAGGCAATCACTTCTTAAGGTATATAAATGTCTAATCACTATGTTGTACACCTGCAAGTAATATAATATTATATGTCAACTATAATTGAAAAATATATTTTTTAAAAGGAGAAATTATGAATGCAGATGGTTGGATTCAGTTACAACTTTATGCATGTATAAATAATACAGCCACTGAAATAAGCTCCATTCTCATAGTTGCTTCTTTTTTTTTCATCCTCACCCAAAGACATTTTTCCACTTTTTGTTCAGACAGAGTGGGAGGGAGAGAGAGGCAGAGAGAGAGAGAGAGAGAGAGAGAGAGAGAGAGAGAGAGAGAGAAACATCAATGTGAAAGGGACACATCGAGTGGCTGCCACCTGCACGACCAACCAGGGCCAGGGCAAACTGCAACCGAGGTACGCACCCCTAGCAGGAATCAAATCCGGTCTCTCTGGACCGCAGGCTGACGCTCTAACCACTGAGCCAACCTGGCCAGGGCTCATAGTTGCTTCTTTTAAGGACATTCACTTAACATTGTGACAGGTACTGTTCTAGAAGCTTTCAATATCACAGTAAACAAAGCAAAGGTCCTTACCTTCATGGACCTTACTTTATTGGCAAGACAAAATAAATGCTAATTAAAATGAGGATAATTGGGGTCATCTATAATGCTCTGAACAAAAAAATGAAAAGAAAATAGTGGACTGGAAAAAGAAATAGAGGAAGATATAAAAAAGTGGAAGCACATACCTTGTTCATGGATTGGAAGAATTAACATCATTAAAATGTCCATACTACCCAAAGCAATCTATAGATTCAATGATATCCCCATTAAAATACCAATGACAGCCTTGGCCGGTTTGGCTCAACGGTTGGAGCGTTGGCCTGTGGTCCAGAGAGACCTAGGTTCAGTTCCCGCTAAGGGCACATACCTCGGTTGCGGTTTGTCCCTGGCCCTGGTTGGGTTGTGCAGGTGGCAGCCACTCGATGTATCCCTTTCATGTCGATGTTTCTCTCTCTCCCTCCCATTCTATCTGAACAAAAAATGGAAAAATATCTTCAGGTGAGGAAAAAAAAAAACAAAACCAACAACATACTTCACAGAACTAGAACAAATACTTCAAAAGTTCATATGGAACCAAAAAAAGACCCCGAATAGCCACAGCAATCTTGAAAAAGAAGAACAAAGTTGGCGGGATCACATTACCAGATTTCAGGTTATACTACAAAGCCACTGTAATCAAAACAGCCTGGTACTGGCACAAGAACAGGCAGATAGATCAAAGGAACAGAATAGAGAACTCAGAAATGGACCCAAAACAATATGCTCAATTAATATTTGACATAGGTGGCACAAGCATACAGTGGAGTAAAGACAGCCTCTTCAACAAATGGTGTTGGGAAAATTGGACAACTACATGCAAAAAAATGAAACCAGACCATCAACTTACACCCTGCATAAGAATAAACTCAAAATGGATAAAAGACTTAAATGTGACACATGAATCCATAAATATCCTAGAAAAAAATGTAGGCAACAAAATTCTGGACATCATACGCAGCAGAATTTTCACTGATACATCACCTAAGGCAACAGAAACAAGGGAGAAAGTGAACACATGGGACTATATCAAACTCTAAAGCTTCTGCACAGCAAAAGAAACAACCACTAAAATGGAAAGGCAACCCACCCTAAGGGAGAGCATAATTGCCAATGATACATCAGATAAGGGGTTGATTTCCAAAATATATAGAGTGCTCATACAACTCAACAAAAGGAAGACAAAGAACCCAATTAAAAAATGGGCAGAGGAACTAAATAGACACCTCTCCAAACAGGACATACAAATGGCTAAGAGACATATGAAGAAATGCTCATCATCACTAATCATCAGAGAGATGCAAATTAAAACAACAATGAGTTATCACCTCACACCTGTCAGAATGGCCGCCATCAACAAATCATCAAACAACAAGTGTTGCCCTGGCCTGTTTGGCTCAGCGGTTAGAGCGTCGGCCTGCGGTCCCGAGAGACCCGGGTTCGGTTCCCGCTAAGGGCGCGTACTTCGGTTGCAGTTTGTCCCCGGCCCTGGTTGGTCGTGTGGGTGGCAGCCACTCAATGTGTCCCTTCACGTCGATGTTTCTCTCTCTCTCTCCTTCCTCTCTCTCCCTCCCACTCTATCTGTACAAAAAAAAATGGAAAATATCCTCGGGTGAGGATAAAAAAAAAAAAAAAAACAAGTGTTGGCGAGGGTGAGAAAAGGGGACTCTAGTACACTGCTGGTGGGATTGCAGACTGATGCAGCCACTGTGGAAAACAATATGGTGTTACCTCAAAAAATTAAAAATTTAACTGCCATTTGACCTAGTAATCCCACTTCTAGGAATATACCCTAAGAAACCTTAACCACCAATCAGAAAGAATATATGTACTCCATGTTCATAGCAGCACTATTTATAATAGCTAAGATCTGGAAACAGCCCAAACGTCCATCAGTAGACGAATGGATTAAAAAGCTGTGGTACATATAGACAATGGAGTACTATGCAGCTGTAAGAAAGATCTTTTATCCTTTGAGACGACATGGAAGGACCTGGAAAGTATTATCCTAAGCGAAACAAGCCCAACAGAGAAAGACACGTATCATATGATCTCACTTATTTATGGAATATAATGAACATAACAGTCTGAGGAAGGGGGTAGTCCCAGAGATGTGGAAGTGAGGTACAGACTGACAATCCCCAGAAGAGGGGATGTGTGTGGGGGAGATAAACCACAGAATTTAGATGCATGTATGCATGAACAATGGACATGGACAACAAAGCTGGGGACAGGGTCGGGGGGGCGGGGAGAAGGGGAAACAGTGGGGGAAAAGGAGAAACATCTATAATAAAAATAAATCAATTAATTTTTAAAAAATAGTGGAAATTGGGAGGCAAGGGGGAAAGCATGAGAACCTATTACTGTAATAATCAAGGTGAGAGATGCTAATGCTTTAGACCACAGAGATATCAATGAAGGTATAGTAAGTGATCATTTTCTAGGTGTATTTTGTAGGAAAAAACAAGAACATATTCTAACAGATTGGATATGAAATGTAATAGAAAGAGATGAGACAAGTATGTCTTCAAAGTTTATCATGTGAGCAATGGAAGGTTGAAAAAGCCATCAATAGTAATAGGAAAGGCCATGTTTACAGTAGGTTTAGGTAGTGAGATATGAAAGATATGGAGTTCTTTTTTTTAAATCCTCACCTGAGGATATTTTTCCATTTATCTTCAGATACAGTGGGAGGGAGAGAGAGAGAGAAACATTGACATGAGAGGGACACATCAACTGATTGCGTCCCAAGGCCAGGGTTGAAACCACAACTGAGGTACATGCCCTTGGCCGGAATCAAACCCATGACTCATTGGCCCGTGGGCCAACGCTCTACCACTGAACCAAACTGGCCAGGGCTGGAGTTCAATTTTTAAAAAATCATTTTTCTTTATTGATTTTAGAGAGAGAGGAAGGAAGAGGGAGAGAGATAGAGACATTGATGAGAGAGAACATCGACTGATCACTTCCTGCATGCCCCTCACTGGGGATCAGGCCCACAACTTGGGCATGTGCCCTGACCGGGAATCAAACTGGTGACCTCTTGGTGCATGAGTCGATGCTCAACCACTGAGCCACAAAAGCCAGGCTGGAGTTCATTTTTTAACATAATAAACTTACAGTGTTTTTAGACTTTTGAAATGCAAATATTAAGAAAGGCAGATGGACACATGAGACTGAGCTTAAGATAGAGGTCTTGACAAGAGATTTAAAATTGGGAGTTGCCAGCATATAGATGGTATTTAAAGATAATATATTACCAGGAGAATGAGGGTATATAAAGGGAAAAGAAAAGAGAAAGAAATGAATACGAATATTAAGATATTTGAGAAAAAAGAAGAAAGCAAAAAATTGAGAAGGAGCAAACATAAACAAAAAAATAACGGTAAGGACATTAATACCATATGATATTAAATTAAAAGTTATAGTGAAAATCATCTTGCCCAGCCAGTGTGGCTCAGTGGACTGAGCATCATCTTATGGACAGGGCGGTCTCAGTCAATTCCCAGTTGGGGCACATGCCCAGTTTATGGCCTTGATCCCTAGTGGGGGGGCATGCAGGAGGTAGCCCATTGATGTTTCTCTCTCACATGGATGTTTTTCTCTCTCCCTTCCTCTCTCTCTAAAAAAAATCAATAAAAATATATTTAAAAAATCATCTTGTTTAATAATTTCTACTGAAAAAAATACACTATCACAATAGCACACATAGTACTGGAATGTATGGGGTGGGCAAAAGTAGGTTTACAGTTGTTTGTATGGCAAAAGACATACAGGTCATGATTATCAGAATAACTTTATTGTGTTTTACATACTCAAACTGTAAACTTACTTTTGCCTACCCATGTATTACTTTAAAAATTACACAAAAATAAAACCCTAAATGTCAGTGAAGCAGGTGGCAGTTATACAAACCTCCTCCAAAGTCCAAACTGGAATGGCAACTAAATTATAAACCAACCAACCTGAATAACCAAGGATTTACAGAAGAAGCCACATCAAGACTGGTAGGAAAAGCAGAGACATGAAAAGGGCTGGCCCCACACCCACATGTGGCAGTTGAGAATCTGGAGGGATATCCCAGCTACAAAGGTCCCCTCTGAGAAGTGTGGGGTCTCAACCCCATGCCAGGCTCCCAAGCAAAGAACACCAGAGCTGCAATGAGGAGCCCAGACACCCAACTGTGAAAATCAGTGGGGATTCTGTCCCCCAAGTACCCTCTTAAGGAACCAGCACACAAAAAGACAACCTACTGAATGGAAGAAGCTATTCACCAGTGATTCATCTGATAAGGGGTTGATATCCAAAATTCATAAAAAACTCATAGGATTCAACACCAAAGAGACAACAGTCCAATTAAAAATGGGTAGAGGAGCTAAATAGACTCTTCTCTAAAGAGGACACATATTTGGCCAATAGAAATATGAAAAGATGGTCAACATCATTAATTGTCTAGAAATGCAAATTAAAACTGCAATGAGATATCACCTCACACCTGTCAGAATGGTTCTTATCAATAAATCAATAAATGCTGGCAAGGATGTGGAGAAAATGGAACCCTCATGCACTGTTGGTGGGAATGCAGATTGATGCAGCCACTATGGAAAACAGTATAGAGGGTCTTCAAAAATTAAAATGGGAAGTGCTTTATGACCCAGTGATTCCACTTCTGGGAATGTAATCAAACAAACCCAACATGTGGCAGCGACCCAAGTGCCCATCAACAGATAACTGGATATAAAAATTGTGGTACATATATACAATAGAGTATTACTCAGCAAATAAAAAAGAATGAATCTTACCATTTGTGATGCCAGGGATGAACCTAGAATGTATTATGCTAAGTGAAATATGTCAGTTAAGAGAAAGACCAATACCATATAATTTCACTAATATATGAAAAAAATAACAAAACTGAAACAGACTCATAGAGAACGGGAACAGACTATTGGTTACTAAAGGGGAGAGAGGTTGGGAAACTGGGTGAAAAAGATGAGCAGATTAAAAAGTACAAATTGGCCCTGGCTGGTTTGGCTCAGCGGTTGGAGCGTCAGCCTGCAGACCAGAGAGTCCCGGGTTCAGTTCCTGCTAGGGGCACGTACCAGAAACAAAAACAAATTAATTTTTTAAAAAATCAAAAAGTACAAATTGGTAGTTATAAAACAGCCATGGGCATGCAAAGTACAGCACAGGGAATATTGTCATAATATTGTAATAACTATGTAAGCTGTTAGGTGATTAATGGAAATATTAGGGGGAACACTTTATAATGTATATGATTGTCTAAACACTATGATACACACCTGACAGTAATACAAAATATTAGTGAATGAAAACTGCAATTAAAAAAATTTTAAGTTCTTTTTTCTTTCTTTTATCCGCACCCAAGGACACTTTTCCATATTTTGTTCAGATAGAGTGTGAGGGAGAGAGAGAGAGAGAGAGAGAAACATCGATGTGAAAGGGACACATCGAGTGGTTGCCACCATACGACCCAACCAGGGCCAGGGACAGACTGCAACCAAGGTACATGCCCTTAGCGGGAACCAATCCCGGGTCTCTCTGGACCGCAGGCCGATGCTCTAACCATGGAGCCAAACCAGCCAGGGCTAAAGTTCTTTTTAACAAAAAAATCACAAAATAATTAATAATAGAAACATCTAATGATAGTAACCATTAGAAAGAATTATGTATATATTGACTTGTAAAACACTATAACTAAATCATTAGATAAATAAAAGGCACATAATAGAATGTAGAAATTATGGGAAGATTACTGTACTATTTATGCTTCTTTATTTTTAATATATTATTTCACTATGTTATAATTATTTTACAAAAGCAACAAAAGAAAGCATAAAGAAAATAATTAACCCCGGAAGATACCTTTAACATTGATCACAGCAACAGTGAAGACAGAAAATACCCTACAAATAATCTTTATAAGGAATGAGCAAAAGCTTTACAATTTTAATGAAGGTCCCATTTATGTCATCTTTATCTTCGTATATTCCATTTACAGTTCTATCATAACTCTGCAACTAGCCTACTAATTGTTTGTTTATCGAACATATAACACCTTTGCATCTTGCATGTACCTAATATGAGTTCATAGTATGAGGTGGGAACTGTTCAAAGCGCTTTAAAGTATTACTCTATTTTACATATGACAAAACAAAAGCAGAGAGAGGTTAGTAACTTGCCCCAAATTTCACTGCATGTGTCAGGATTTAAACCTGGTACATCAGTTACAGCTGTCTGTCAAGCTCAAAAATTGATCAGATTAGGAAAATATATTTTTTAAAAGACTGAAAGAGGCTTATGAAACTGGGAGGAAATAGGACTCAGAGAATAGATAAGGGAGTTATTAGAAAGAAGGGGGCAAAGTGTTAAAGGAGACAGTTATGAATAACAAATTTGGGAGAACATCCTAAAAGGCCCCAAGTTTCTACTAAGATCTAGAGCATTTGAGATCATGCCAACAAAGAAAAGTGCAGAGGCAACACCTCTGCGCTGGGCTGAGATGTACCCTGCAAAGGTTTTTGTCTGCCTATTTCTTCTTCACCTACCTGAGCACAAGCCTTTTGCCAGCTCTTTCTTCACCATCCAGGGCTCTTTCCCTTGTTCCAACAATAATATCACACTTGGCTTAGAAAAGCAAAGTCCTGCATATATAAGAAACAAAATTTGGTCATATTGTAGATATCCCAGAATTCACATCCAGTCTTTTGATCATCAGGGAAGAGGGAACTTAATAGTAAGCCAGGGAAAAATGTGTCAAAGATATGTATTCAATGCATAGAGAATTTGAAGCTTCTGACATAGGTTAATAATAGACCTGTCTACTGCCAACTCCACAAATATTAAATCATTATTTGGTACAGGCAACACACATTCAACCAAACACAGCAGATACTATCCAAAAAATCATTTGGTGGTAGCAAAGAGCCCCTTATGAACAGAAGCTCAGTACTGCAAATATTCTTACCCAGTGATACCAAGATCCTGTAGTTCTCCAACATCACATTACTGTACAGATGCCTTTGAGAAGAATTTAGACAATCCCACTCCTCTTGGGAGAAGTCTACGGCCACATCCCTGAAGGTCACCAACTCCTGAAATGAAATAAATGAAAGGAAAATAAGTTCATCGCTTACCATACTTACCTCATTCCTTTTGCCTCAGCTACACTGGGCTCTCTCTGATATTACATCCTCAACTATGTTAAGCATGGTTACCATCAGGGCTTTTGTACTTCCCGGATCATTCTGTATAAAATGAGCAATGCTCCTGCCCTAGTTCTCTATTCCCCTGACCCTGATTAATTTTTCTCTATGGCACTTACTGTTGTTGTTATTTATTGTCTGTCCTCTACCTCTACTAAAATGTAAGCTCCAGGAGGACAAAGTATGTTTTTGTTTTGGTCACTGCTATATTCCCAGTTACAGAACAGTATCTGGCACACATGAGATATTCAAACATTCACTGAATAAACTGAGTTAATAAATTAATGGTTTGAAGAGTTCAAGAAGCTGTAAGAGGACTAAAGGTGGGACGAGAAAGTGCTTGCTATTTCTTTAAAAAATGTGCTAGACCAAATAGATCATCAATTCCATTCAAATTCAAATACTTCAATCCAGAGTACCTTAAGTTTTATGTAGAGATATGGATGTTCCACTCATAATACTATTTCTGCCTAAATGGGCTGGGCAAAGTTCTTAAAAACTTGTGAGCCATGCTGGGATTCAGTTGGATTCCAGATTTCTATAATGCGACCACTTGCTAATGAAACTAACATATATCATATGTTTGTGTGTGTAAAATTTGTTTTTACAAAATTGAAAGAGGTATATCTGTCATGGCAAGAAAAGACTTCATTATTATTTGATAGAATTTTGGCATAGTTAAAAAAACTGCCTCTACCAAATAAAAATTCTTAAAGTGTTTTTCACAATCTTCTTTCTTAATTATATTAAGTAATTTGTAAATTTCTGCCTCCCTATTCTAGCAACATACCTCATATGTTGCAGAAACATTCCTGTTAAGAGTTTGGTTCATACGGTATATATGCTGTCAAAAATGTTTTTTAGCTTATATAAATTTACTAAATGTATAAACATTTTTATATATAACATACACATTTTTTGACTTAATTTATACAGTCAGTGAAATGAATTACAATGTCAATATACGGAGTTTAAATTCTAACCTTAAAATATTTTACCTCTAACAAATGATCATAATACTCAGTTTCAAAATTCATTCATAATTATAATCAAACCAGTCTGAAGCATAATAACAGCTCCCTTCACCATGATACCCTTACAGAAACATGGCTCCCAGCTGAGAATACATCCCCTCAAGTCCTGCCATGTGGTGACTGTCTTATTTCCCACATTCCTTGTACTACAGCACCTAAAAGTGAGGCAAGTGACCTCTTTCCACATTACACTTGTTTCTAGACCATTCCCTTCTCTCTAAAAGAGACCTAGTTTTATGTCAACCACACTATCCCTCATTTCAGTTATCTACCAATTCCTGGTAGACACCAATTCTCTGGCATTCCTGGACACATGGCTCACTATCACATCACTTTCTCCAATGCTATTCCTGTTATAAATTTTGCTCATTACATTATATTATTTATATCCATATAAATAATCCTCCCAACCACCTGGCCTCTCAGTTCTCCAACCCCCCTCCCCACCAGTAATGTTGTCCTCCACACTTCTATAGTAATTCACTTCCATTGTTATACCCCAGACCTTGTCATTACCAATCCTTCCATAATCTCAACTCTCCAACTCGGACTTCCACCTCCTATATTCCAACTTTTGCCCTATGGTACCCCAATCAGGATAATTCTTTCAACCCAACAGAATGTACAGATCATTGATCTTGCCACATTTTCACTGCTCCTCACCCGTGCATACCCTCACTTCCTAGCACAACCATTTGTTATAATCACCCCATTCATATACCTTCAACTTTCCTGCTCCTCTCTCACTTAACTGTATTCACCTGGTTAACTGTATTCACCGAACCACAGCCATTTCTCAGCATATATCCTGTTTCTGTACTGTACATAGGTGAACTTTGCTGGAGAAAAATCATACCAACCATGCTAACTGGTCTTACTTTAAAGTCATGATCACTAATCTCAAGTGGGCCAAAATGCTATGTACACAATATATTTTTCTAGTCCATTCATTCCACCACTCTCCTAAAATGACCATTTGATACTTTCCTCTCTCTCCTCAAATCTTCAATACCTCCTCCCCCATCCTTATTTTTAGGTGACGATTTTTCTAAATTTTTTTTTTTTAAAGCCTTTCTAAGAGAATTTCCACAAACTCCCACAGCATCTACACTTCTACCAGCACCTGTGCCTAGATACTCTAACTTGTTCCTATTACTATAAATGAACAGGCTGCCTTCCTACCAAAGGCCAAACTCTTCACTTGTACACTAAACCTCAGCTCCTCTGACCTACTCAAGTACAGTGTTCCAGCAATTCTCTCCTTTCTCTTCTTCACCTTCAAATCTCCATGTCTGCTAAATCAACATCAGCATAAGACACTTATTTTTTAAAAACTTTGTCCACCATAGTTTCTCCTTCAGTCACCACCCATTTCTCTTTTTAGCTTACAACTAAACTATTTTATAAAGTTGTCTATACTTTTTATTATTTCTATCCCCGCCAGGAAGAGAAATGACCTGTGTAACAGAATTACTTTGGCTTCTTTGTTAAGAATAGACTAGCAAAGAGTAGGGTGGAAGTAGGGAGACAAGGTAGGAGGGTAGAGCAATGATCTAGTTGAGAGGTAATGATTTGACCAAAAAAACCCAAAAAAAAAGCAATGTTGATATTATAAATTGGTCAGATCTGCATATCTTCTGAAGGCAGAACAAACATAACTTCTTCATGGAACACTTCTAGCTTAAGCACTTGAGACAGGGAATATGTAAGAGTTTCCCAATTGGTTTCCCTGCTTCTATCCTTGTTCCATTAGGTTTATTTTCAGTAGCAGTCAGAGTGATCCTATTAAAATGAAAATCAGATCATGTGATTCCTATGCCCTAAAACTCCCAAAGGCTCATTTCACTCAGTTCGAGATATCTGAGTTTGAGGTATCTATTATATAATCAAATGAAGACGCTGAGTAGGTAGTTGGATATACAAGTCTGGATTACAGGAGAGAAGTATACAGTTTGGTAGTTGTTGGCATATAGATAGTATTTAAAGCTGTGAGACAGGATAAGATCACCAAAGGAGTGATTGTATATAGAGCACAGAAGAGGACCAAGGTCTAAACCCTCTTAGTTAATAGGTACTTAATAAAAATTTGTTGAATGAATGAATGTTTGGGCAGAGACCAGAATGAAGAAGTTGGTCTATATTGGAGGGAACAGCATTCTAGGCAGAGGGAAGAACAAGTGTTAAGAATATATCCAACTCACTACAAGGAAGCTAGTGTGTCTGGAACCAAGTAAGTTACAGACAGGGTGGAAATAATTAGATGAGGTCAGAGGGATAGTCAAGGGCCAGATTATGCATGGCCTTGTAGGCCAAGGCAAAGTCTTCAGCATTTATCCTGAATGAGTGGGAATCCACTGGAAAGTTTTAAGAAGTAACAAAACTGGTTACCCAGAAAAAGTCTCAGTAGAAGTAAAATTAATGTCTGCTTGTTTCAAAAAGCAGCAAAATATTTCAGGAAAGAAAAACACCAACTCACCTGGTACATGGTTTTAAGAAGTCCAACAGCCATTCTTTCCTGCTCTTGACTCTTCCCTTGGGAAATGGCAGTGTCCTTAGATGACTGAGATGGGAAAGAGAACATGAGAAACTAGGTTTTCCTTGCAGCATCCAGAATCATCAGCCTAGAAGTTTGCAGCTTCTCTCTTCCTGTTAAGAGAGAAGCATAATGGAAACCTCAGAATTTGCTTGCATACAATTTAATCCATGCCCGAATCACTTCCTAACTTATTTTAACAATAGATTTTACAAATAAAAACTCCAAGCAATATAATCATTTATATAAAGACAACACAACTTTAATAAATAACAGCACCAAGATTAAATAAAGGTCTTTCTGATCCCATAGTCCCTTTAAATAGATCACTGGTGGCACACAGTCTTACTCAATCTCCATAGACACCGATTCTTAAAAACGACAGCGTCAACCACCGTTTTGCACACAGCACAGTCAGTGGCCATGGGTATGGACATAGTTTCCACGGTCACCCTCTCTCCCATACTCCCCAGCCTATGGTGTCACTCACAAACCCAGTCACAAAGAGGCCGAAGGTACGGGTACAAGGGGACAGTGAATCCTCTTCCACCCCTACTCACAGTCTCACACTACGTGGCACCAACCCCTGCCTTACACCCACAGTCACACAAATACGATGTCTGCAGGCATATCGAGTGACAGTCTCACACGGTTCCGTATCGACCACCACGTCACACAGAGGGCCCGGGGACCCGCGGCCACTCCTCAGCCCACTCCCCTACCTGCAGAACTGAACTGCGGGGAGATCCCGTCCTCGCCCCCAAGGCTCAGGCAATTTCTACTACGGCCCAGGTACAATCCTTAGGGTCTGATGGAACCCAGCCCCCGCGGGCCCGGAAAGAAGGGACAAGTCCTCCGGAGGACACAAAAGGGACGCCGGCTAATGCACGCGGTGTCCACTGGGAAATGTAGTCCAGACCAGAAAAGACGGCGGCGCTGCAGTCCGACTGCACCCGCACTAGGGGTTCGAAACGCCACCCCTTTTGCCCCCGGCCCTCCCGCGCCAGCCTCTCTCAGGTCTTCCAGAAGGAGTTCAGAAGTTCCTATTCCTCGTAGCTCCGGGCCTGGGTCCGCAACAGGGACTGAGCCGAGTTTCACACTAGACGGTCTAGGACTAAAGTGCGCGCACACCAGGTCCTCAACCCTTAGCCTGAAGAATTTAGAGTCCGGGTGAGTCGCAGGGGGCGGGGTCTGTGTGGTGGCTGGCGCTAGTGCGCGCGTCTGCAGAAAGTGGGAGAAGGACCAGTTCCTAGAATTGCGGAAGGGTACCCGAAAACAGTAGGTGAGTGTGGAGAACGGGGACTCGAGTGTGCGGAACAGGGACCAGAGTGTGCAAGCGCGTTAAAACTTCCTCCCAGTCCCCCCGTCCTCTAGTCTAGGGCGTTCTTGTTCAGGGAACCACTTACCTTGCAGACGGCAGGGTCAGGGTAGAAAGCCTAACCGTTTGCAGACGGTTCTCCTATTCGAGATCTGGTGATGGTGGGAGTGAATTTGTCCTCTCTTCCAAAAATGACCCTCCTGCCAGTATCTTCACATTTCCCTTATTCCCTACATTCAGATAAAAATGTCTCCTTTTCAGCCTTGGAGGGTGTGCTCAGTGGTTAGAGCATTGTCCTGCCCGCTAAAGGGTGTGTGAGGGGGGGTCAATTCCTGGTCAAGGGCGCTACTGGGGTTTGTAGGTAAAGTCCCCCTGGTTGGGTCGGTTGGGGCACATGGTGGGGAGAGGCAACCAATCCATGTGTCTCTCTCACATCATATTTCTCTCTCTCTTTCCCCCTCCCTTCCTCCCATTCTCTAAAAATCAAGGGGGAAAAATATTCTCTGGTGAGGATTAGCAACAACAACAATAAATGTCACATTTCCAAAGAGGTTTTACCTGATCACAACTCTCCCCTGGCACTCCATGTCTCCTTAATGTAACTCTCTACCCCCTTAGTACAATATTGTCTATATTTTAAGTATTTCATTTGTTTATTGTCTACCCACAAGTTTCTGTCACAAGACTGTCATTTTGTGAGTTGGTGCATGACCCTTTGATTCTGTCATTGTGTGTGTGTGTGTGTGTGTTTCTATGAGTGTGTAAAACTCTGTGTTAGAGTGAGCATGCTGCATTTCTGTGACCATGTGATAGTGTGTGCAAGATTTGTGATTTACCTCTGAGAATCTTCTGCAATAGAAAGGGACAGACTGGGGGAGAGTGGAGTAGGAGTGTGTTATGATTGTGTGACAGACCATGAGGATAAGACTAATGGATAGGGGTTTGTGTGTGGAACTCTTCCCTGTGGTAACTGATTAGAAAGCACCTCCTGTGTGCCAAGTGCTCTTTGAAGTGCTTGGAGAGACACAGAGAAAATAAACTTTAAAAATTTGCAAATAAGCCCTGCCTGGTTTGCTCGGTGGTTAGAGCGTCGGCGGACCAATGAGTCCCGGGTTAAATTCTGGTCATGGGCACATACCTCGGTTTCTGTTCATCCCTGGCCCTGGTCGGGGTCGTGCAGGAGGCAACCAGTTAACGTGTCCCTCTCAGGTCGAAGTTTCTCTCTCTCCCTCCTTCCCACTTTATCTGAAGATAAATAGAAAAATATCCTCAGGTAAAGATTAAAAAAAAAAAAGCAATTGTACATTTACACAATGGAATACTACTCAGCCTTAAAAAAATCCTTTGCAATTACATGGATGGCCTGTAGAATATTAAGCTAAGTGAAATAGGTCAGTCAGAGAAAGACAAGTACCATGTGATTTCACTTATTTGTGAAATCTAATGAACAAAATAAACTAACCAATAAAATAGAAAAAGACTTATGGATATAGAGAACAGACTAATGGCTGTCAGAGGGGAGGCGTGTTGAGAGGGCTGCGTAGAAAAGGCGAAAGGATTGAGGGGAAAAAACCTCATGGACACAGACAACAGTATGGTAATTACCAGAGGGAAATGGGGAAGGGGTGAGGTAGAAGAGGGTAAAGGGGGTATAAATGAGATGGAAGGAGACTTGGCTTAGGGAGGTGAATACACTATACACAATATACATATATATTATAGAGCTGCACACCTGAAATCTGTATAATTTTATTGACCAGTGTTACCCCAATAAATTCAATAAATAAAAAAATAAAAATAAATGAATAAAAATTATGCAAAGTGAAGTCATACACAAAAGGACAAATTATTCTGCTTGTAAGAAATATTTGAATTAGGCAAATTCATAGAGAAAGAAAACAGATTGGAGGTTACCAGGGCCTGGGGGAGAGGAAGAATTGGGAGTTATTATGGAAGTTTTGTATTTCTTCCTTGATCTCATTGGTAATCCATTCATTGTTTATCATTAACAAGCTATTTAGTCTCCATGTGTTTCAGTTTTTTTTATTGTAGTTGATTTCTAATTTCATGCCATTGTGATCTGAGAAGGTGCTTGATATGATTTCAGTTTTTTTGAATTTGTTACAGCTTATTTTGTGTCCTGACACGTGGTCTATTTTTGAGAATGATTTATGTGCACTTGAGAAGAATGCGTAATCTGCCACTTTTGGATGAAATATTCTGTAGATATAAATCAAGTCCATCTGATCTAGTCTGTTGTTTAAGGTAACTGTTTCCTTGTTGATTTTTTGTCTAGAAGATCTATCCAGTGATGTCAGTGGGGTGTTAAAATCCCCTACTATGACTATATTGCTAACAACCTCTCCCTTAAAGTCTTCCAAAAGTATTTTTAAAAATATATTTAGGTGCTCCTGTATTGGGAGCATATATTTTTACCAGCATTTTATCCTCTTGTTGGAATGATCTTTTTTGTATTATATAGTGTCCTTCCTTGTCTCTTGTTATGGCCTTTGTTTTAAAGTCTATTTTTTCAGATATGCCTCTATCCCAGCTTTTTTTTTCTTTTTTTTTTCATTTCCATTTGCATGAAATATTTTTTTTTCCATCCCTTCACTTTCAGTCTGTGTGAATCTTTTGTTCTGAAGTAGGTCTTTTGTAGATAGCATATAAATAAGTCATGTTTTCTTATTCAGCTACCCTATGTCTTTTGATTGGAGCATTTAGTCCATTTACATTTAAGGTTATTGATAGGTACATATTTATCGCCATTTTTTAAAAAATAATTATATTCCTCTCTCGCTCGGTTTCTTTTTCTTGTTAAAGCACTCCCTTTAACATTTCCTGCAATGCTAGCTAGTTTGGTGGTAATGTACGCCTTTAGCCATTTTTAGTCTGAGAACCTGTGTACTGTATTTCACCTTCAATTTTAAATGATAGCCTTGCCCTGGCCAGTTTGGCTCAGCAGTTGGAGCACTGGCCTGTGGACCAGAGAGTCCTGGGTTCAGTTCCCGCTAGGGGCACATACCAAGAAAAAAAAAGTCAATTAAATGATAGCCTTGTTGGATAGAGTAGGCTTGGGTTCAAGTCCTTGTTTTTCATTACTTTGAATAATTGATGCCAATCTCTTCTGGTCTGAAGTGTTTTTGTTGAGAAATCAGCTAAAATTCGAATGGGTATTCCTTTGTAGGTAACTTTCTATCTCTCTCTTGCTGCCTTTAAGATTTTCTTTGTCTTTAACATTTGCTATCTTACTTATGATGTGTCTTTGAATGGGTCTCTTTGGGTTCATCTTGATTGGAACTCTCTGTGATTCCTGAACTTGTGTGACTTTTTCCTTTACCAGGTTAGTGAAGTTTTCCGTCATTATTTCTTTTGATAGGTTCTCTATTTCCTTGCTCACTTTCCTTCTGTTACCTCTATGATGCAGGTGTTGTTATGATTCATATTGTTCCAAAGTTCCTTTAAACTCTCCTGCTTTTTCATTTTTTTTCTTTTTTCTGGTCTAATTGGGTGTTTTTTCTTCCTTGTTTTCCAAATCACCCAATCTTCTGCTTTATTCAATCCAATTTTGATTCCTTCCAAAGTATTCTTGATGTCAGATATGTTATTCTTCATTTCCGATTGATTCTTATTGTGGTTTCTATTTCTTGTTTCATGCTGATATAGTTCTCACTAAGTTCCTTGAAATACTTAGTTATTTGAGCTTCCTCATAACCAATACTTTAAACTCTATATCTGATAAATTGCTTGTCTTCATTTCATTTAGCTCTTTTTCTATAGTTTGCTTTTTTTTTTCTTTCATTTGGGATTGTTTCTTTTTCTCCCCATTTTTCCTGTCCCTTTGTATTTTTTTCTAGGTATTAGATCAATCTGCCATGCCTCCCAGTCTTCCTGTGGTGGCTTTATGTGATAAGTGGAGCAGTCTCTTAGGTCTGCCTATTCAGCCTCCATTTTCCTTATTAAGCTCTGTGTTCACAAGATTTCGGAAGATTGACAACTCACTCACCAGAATGCCTCCAAATTGTAAAGGACATCAAAAAGAAGGAAAGTCCAAGAAGCCGTCACAGCCAAGAGAAGCCTGTATTCAAAGTCCCATTGTATCTTTCGTCCTCACAACTGTGTTTTTTCAGTTGACTCAGGCAGAAAGCATATCACATTGATTCCAAGAAGTCATTCCACTCATTGAGGGAGGTTGCATCTAAGTAGTTGGAAGAACTGCTGATGCTTGTCTGATACTTGAACTCTACATAGTCTAAAATCCACATCAAGTAATTAAACTTTTCATACTATTTTGGTGTGTGTTGGGGGGAGGGTCATAAGTTTCAACATTCCAAACAAATTTTGGGTTGGAGGGGGTCCATCCTGTGCCTGCAGATTGGCAACAATAGGTAAGAATAGATACCATTGCCCTGGCTGGTTTGGCTCAGCGGTTACAGCGTCGGCCTGCAGACCAGAGAGTCCCAGGTTTGGTTCCCACTAAGGGCACGTACCTTGGTTGCAGTTTGTCCCTGACCCTGGTTGAGG